ATATATATATATATATATATATATATATATATATATATATTATTGTAACTTCAGCAAGCAATTTTCGAGATTTTAGGGTTCCCCCATTCATTTAAATAGGACTTTGTTCTTGGATAGGATTGCAAATATGGCTGCCAAGTGAACAGGCTTTTCATTAAAGAGATTTTGTAGCAACCTAAAACATGCTGGTATTGTAATCAACCAATCCACTTTCTAAAAAAGGCAAAAAACAAAACAAGAACAACATAGCAACGTCTTTAAACATGCTGGTTATGTTGTCTATAATAATATTATATAGCAGCAAGTTATTATGCTGAAATTGTAAATAACCCTTGTGTTTTCTGAGAAAAAGAAAAATGAGAACAACATAACATCATATAATGCTGGCATCATAATTGACCCTTGCATTTACTAGAAAAACAACATACTAATAACTTACAACACACTAATGTCGTAATTAAACAGTTAAACTCCGCGGACCCGGTACCGTGACGTCATCGACTTTCTCTTTAAGATTTAAAGGGCTAGCAGTGCACCTGACCCCCTTAAGTGGTTTCGTTTAAAAGTGTAGAATCTATATTTTATGCTCATATGCATCACTTTGGTTTTTATTCTACTGTACAAAAGTTATTTACTCTTAAATACACAATATTTTGGATACTTGAGCTGGGTATTAAACATTAGTTCATTTTCATATTTTTCATATGACACATGTACAAGTTATAGCTCAAATGAAAGCTCTTGCCGGTGCTCATACGGTTCTAGCTTTCTTTTTACTGAATTATATTCACATATCTAACAGTTGCCGAATGAATCGTGATGTTTCCATGGCGCAGAAGTGAAAACAATACATTCATGATCACTAAGCAGCCCCAGATAGCACAGACAGCTGTCATCTCTTACCTTATGCTGTGTGCTTCAGGGCCGTTCTCCTCTGTTTTTGAGGTGATGTGCATAAGTAATCCTTTTATATGTCTGACGTGCTCCAAACACAGTGAATTATGTTTGATCAAACAAAAGAATAGTGAAACATGAAAACAATGATCGCTCCCTGTGGCTTGTACAGCACCTCTCATCAGTTGGAATACAATAACTTTTGCATAGATTATGGTGGAGACATTTTTCTGTTTTCCTATGATTACAGACATGTGCAGGAACTACCAAAATTATTTACAGCATGCTAGACCACACACAACCTAAAAGTCCACTTTCAAATTTGAGTTTATAAAAAAAAAAATACAATAGGCGCCTCTTTTTTTTAGGTGTTTATTATAACACAGACAAGATATACAGTTATTTTAAACACTTTCAATAGTGTTTTATGAAAATTCAAAGGGTTTTCTTTAAAATGATACCAAATGTTTTGCATTTACACCTCTGCATGTGGATTTGGGAAGCTTTTAAATTTGGGTAGGCAAAATCCAGGCGGATATCCCAAAATAGCAGCAGAGTTTAACTGGTTAATAACAAAACATTTGGGCAGCCCTGATTTAGAGCATAACAATTACAACTTTCCAACAAAACAAAACAAATGTAGCTCTAGAAAGCTTACTACAACAAAAGCTATAGCTAAAATACTGTTTAAAATATATTTAAATGTATATATATGTCTGTAATAAACTCTCTAATATAGGAAATCAGTCCGCAGTCCTGGGGCTTTAGTGCATCAGAGAAATATCTTTTATATATTTTTTATTAATAAGAAAAAAATCATAATAATTGAACATGTATTCATCAAAAACATTAGGTTAGGTTACATCTGCACCCCTTTAGAAAAAAATACAAAACAGAGAAACAATGCAAAATATGCTTGGGCGGTATCCAAATTTTAATATCGCCAAACCTCCTCCCTTTTTTTACCCCGGTATCCGGTATTACCGTGCATAATAAACAAAAATGATGACTTAAGGCTCAGACAGCATCACCTAACTGTTGGCTTGTGCCTAAACCACCCAGAAACTGAATAACATATATGCGACCTTAGATTCGTGGTCACCTGTTTGTCTTGTTCGTATTAGAGATCTGCGCAGGATGCTCATTCACACACACTCATGCATGCACACACACACACACACACACACACACACACACACACACACACACACACGCACACACACAAAAAAACATGCACGCACACACACACAAAGAGAAAATGCAGACCTCTAGTTCGTATTTACCACGTCTCCCTTCTCGTTCGGTCAAAACTGGAAATACTGCCAAACTGCAGGTCACTTGGTGCTCAACTCGTCACTTCACCCTCTCCCTCTCACTCTCTATCTCTCTCTCTTTCACACTGTCCTGTGATGACAATCACGCATACACAATTGTAGGCATTTAAAAAATATTTATTGTTTAATACTTGACTCATATTTAAGTGCATTGTTTTTTTATGATGGTATAACAGTATTGAAACTGACAGCGTTGCTATTTTTAGATCGCGCGGTATACCATATTACCGTATTACCGCCCAAGCCCAATGCAAAAGTTGTTGCTGTTTTTAATATTACTTTTACTGTTAGTAAAGGTAGTCTACCTGTTTCTGGCCCTAGCAGTGGTCGCCTAGCAACCACAAATGCTAAAACAGCAAGTGAATTGAACTTTGTGAAAGAAGCGGCGCTCATCATGTTTTCAACAGTTTCGGATGAGGTATATGAATGGCCAAACGCTATGGAGCGTGTACAAATTATAAATTAAATATACACTGTCTTCAGTGTGACGTGACGCCACCTTTTTAGTACTCCTGTTTATGGACGGGATAATGCAACAGCAGCAGTTGTGTGAGTTCTGCAAACAGGGCAAGTAAAAAAAATCAAATGTTACACTAATATCCATAGTAGGGCTGCACGATTCTGGCTAAAATGAGAATCGCAAATTTTTTTATTATTTATTTTATTTATTTATTTATTTATTTATTTATTGCCTAAAATAAAGATCAGGATTTTCTCCTGATTCTGTAGATGTAAAATGAAGGTTAATATGAGTGGGCTATTATTGTTATTCTCAAACATGTGGTAAACAGCAATAGGCTTTGTGTCGCTGCACTGTTGGTTAAGATGCTCAATGTTGTATAGAGTTGGAATGGTGGACTTGAACAGACTTTAGATGTGTCCTGGTCATTAATGCCGATGATAATTCTCATGTTGAGTTATTGTGTTTGAGATATGTGCTTACAATCTGTCATTTTCTGTTTAAAATCTGTCACTGATGTGATTTTCGTGAATACAGAAGACTGGATGGGTATTTTTGCATTTCGGCGGGCTTTGGATACTTATTGGGCTGGAATCAGTCAGCTACATCTGGAAACACTGTGTGCGCTTTGGGTTTCATTTTCACTGCTAAGAGCGGTTCACTTCCCGCACGGCTCCCAAACGATCACTCTGTGCCACAAACTGATGTTATTTACAACTTTATTAGCTGTTATTCACAGCATATGCAGGTTCTTTTCACTAAAGTAAACTTCATTCAGAGGCGCACGCGCGGCGCCCGCCCTCTCTGTGGTAACAGCTGACGGTCAGCTTACGTCATGTGTGATTTTGCGGTGGCAAATACATTACATAAAGACAGAAATTACATTTTTGAGGTGAATTATATCTTATAAATACAGCATGTGTCTCTTTCAACACCATTTGGAGGTGTCCGCGTTGCTGAACAATGTATGTAAAACAATGTGAAGACTTGTGCGGCTACCATTGCTTCTCTCCTGAACTTGAAAATATGATTGACAGAATTGTAGAAATGCTGGATTAAGATTGATTAGGGGGTCGAATCGAGATTGCCATCTTTTTACGATTAATTGTGCAGCTTTAATCCATAGGGCTCATGATACTAGTGAGCATCCAAGGCAAGTCATAGTCAGTTGCATAAGCACAGAACGCACGTTTCACACTGCACCCTGTTCTAGCATCATGTAAAAAAAAATAAACATCTCGCGAGTTTTGCATCATCTGATTGGCCCTTCTGAATCGGCCTTCATGGACACCGCCGATCAAACTCACCCAAGCGATTATTATGGCCCGTTTCCACTGAGTGGTACAGTACATTTCGGTTTGGTATGCTTTTATGGCCGTTTACACTGTCAAAAAGCGTACTGTACCACTTTTCCGGCACCTGTTCGAAAGGATACCAAACATGAGAAAGGATACCAAAAGGCGGAGCTACATAGTCAGCTGAACACTGATTGGTTACAGAGATACGTCACAAGCTCGTAGAGCTAGACAGAATGAAAACAAAGGAACCGCCATGTTCTAAGCCGAGATCATATATGTTGCATATATATTTGTTTTAAATAATTACAGACGTTACAGTTATTTCGCGCTGTCATTGATTTGCAGTTATAATCTACTCATGTTGATCGAAAACTTAGTAATAAACTTTTATAAACAAGTATTTGTGTGTGTAAAGCGTCTGTTTTGTGAGAAGGGCTGCTCATATGATATGTAAGCGACCCGTACAGCCTTACTGTAGACATTTATTCGAGCGAGCATGACGTCGACTTGCACTTTCGGTCGTACACTACGCCCACCAAAAGGGTACCCTTGGTAGTGGAAACCCAAGCCTGGTAAAGGTGACCCGTACCGACCCAAACTGTACCGTACTGTACCAGTCAGTGGAAACGAGCCATTAGAGCATCCTTAATGGTTTGAACCGTGACGTTTGTGATCTATTACACAATTAATCGTTAGTAACCATATAAAAAAGAGGGAAATCTGGAACATTTTGTTCTGCAATGACTGTACGCTCACAGAATTTTTAAAATGGCTTTCTTAGTAAAAGTTATTAGTTATCTTTTCCTCTGTAAAGCATAAATGTTATGTCTAGAAGAGCGTGCACAGAATATCAGGGAAGTTTCTTAATAAAATAAACGTGATGCTCTCTTCCTCCATGTTTGGTTTATTCCTCTGACTAGAGTTTCAAATAAACACTCTGTACTATATGAGAGCACACACTTCAGTGTGTGTATATACTGTATTAATGCTCTATAAACACTCTCTCTCCTCCAGAAACCATGTCGGACGTGGACAAGTTCCTGTATGTGGACCGCAACCTGGTCAACAACCCGCTGGCGCAGGCCGACTGGGCCACCAAGAAGCTAGTGTGGGTGCCTTCAGAGCGTCTGGGGTTCGAGGCGGGCTCACTTAAGGAGGAGCATGGGGACGAGGTTGTGGTGGAGCTGGCCGACTCCGGGAAGAAGATCCGGGTTAACAAGGACGACATCCAGAAGATGAACCCACCCAAATTCAGCAAGGTGGAGGACATGGCGGAGCTGACCTGCCTGAACGAGGCCTCGGTGCTGCACAACCTGAAGGAGAGATACTACTCCGGACTCATATACGTGAGTGTGTGCGCTAAATACACAGATATATTCAGTCACTCAGTATAACCTGATGGTCAACATGCATGATTTTAATTTTAGGGCACTTCTAAATACAATGAATAGTTCATTATTTTTTAAACGTTCAGCTTTAATCAGATTTAATAGAAGATTTATTTTCAAACATTCACATTTTCTCATGTTAATCTGCTGTACGACATTGAAAATGATCTGTCTATTTATATTAGCCCTTTATTTGATAACCCTGACCAAGTCAGCAGGAACAATAGTTTGAACTTCATCATATATTAGCGCTAAAAAAAGTGTCTTATTTGTTTTTGGGTTTTTAATTATATTTTTATTAATATATATTTATAAATTATATGTTTTTGCCATGTAAATAATCGTCGTTGCTGAGGTGACATTAAAGAAAAATATATAATGATTGTTTTACTATGTTAGTGAGGACATTACATAGACTTCCATTGGTTTTCTGTCAGGTTAATGATAGTGTCTATGGCCTACCCCTAGCCCTAACCTGAACCTTAACAGAAACTCCTGCACATAATTACATATTCATTATAAGTAGCTAAATCTGTACACACACATTTTTGTTTTACTATCTTAGTAAGGACCTTTACATAGACTTCCATTGTTTTTCTGTCAGGTTAATGGTACTATATATTGGCTTAACCTTAGCCCTAACCTGAACCCTCATAGAAACAGATGCATATCATTAGATGCTAATAAGTTATTGATTCATAAGCACGTTTACTTAGTAAGGAGCAGTAAAAAATGTTTACTAGTGGGACTTAGTAGAAACATTACGTAGACTAACATTGTTTATCTGTCAGGTTAATGATGGTGTCTATGGCCTACCCCTAGTCCTAACCCAAACCCTCACAGAATCAGCTGCACATCATTAGATGCTAATAAGTTATCAATTTATAAACACTTTTATTTAGTGTGGTTTGTGAAATGTTCACTAGTGAGTGGTTTTGATATCTCAATATATAGGTGAGGACAATTGAGCTCTCATAAGTAACAAAATCTGTACACACACAGATTTGTTTTACTATATTAGTGAGGAGATTACTTAAACCTCTATTGTTTTTCTATCAGGTTAATGATAGTGTCTATGGCCTAGCCATAACCCTCACAGAAGCAACTGTACATCGTTAGATCCTAATAAAATTATTTAATAATAAAACTATTTAGTTTGCACCAGTGAAATGTCCGCTAGTGAGTTCTTTTGATATCTCACTGTAGAAGTAATATATGCGCATTTTCAAAATGTATGTATTTTACATTACATTAACTCTGTACAGTAAGGTTTACTTGTTATCATCAGTTAATTTAAGTTAACGTAATAACAACTACAAAAGCATTTATTAATCTTAGCCTATTGTTAATTTCTTAGCTAATCCTAAAAACACGATTTTAAATGTTTTTATTGTTTTAATAAATAGTCGAATACGTTTAAAATTCTGTTGTTTTTTTTATTAGCTTAAACATATAATTATAATATGACTTTCTCAATAGCTGTGTTTCCATTAGCCTATTTGTATGCACATTTAGCAATATTGCATTAAAAATTCACATCAAGAAATGTGCATGCATTACCTATATAGACCATTTTGAGGGATGTAAACAAAAACAATGGTCCCAACGTATCTCCTGTTTTACATTTTTAGTTTCTACAGCTTCCCAGAATCCAAAACGAGCCACTTATTGATAATTAGGGACCGAGCACCGAACGGTGCAAGGCCCTATTGGAATTGCTCCGTTTCTTATTATTCTTCTTCTTCTTCTTCTTCTTCTTCTTCTTCCGCGGAATGAATCGCGGTTTTGAGGGGCTAAACATGCCCGAAAACTCACGAAACTTTGCACACGCCTCAGAAGTGGCGAAAATTTACGTTTATTATGGGTCTCGGAAAGGGGTGTGGCAAAATGACTCGACAGCGCCACCTAGAAAATTTAAACGGACAAGCCCCCGATCCACGAATCACGCACATGCACGAAAATTGGCACACACCTCAAACATGCCAAAACATACGAAAAAGTCTCTTGGAGCCATATCTCAAACCCAACAGGAAATTGGATATTTTTGACTTCCTGCGGCCAAAAAGTGGCGTTTTTGCCATTTCCAGGCGTTGTATTTTAACGAACTCCTCCTAGGGATTTTATCCGATCGACACCAAAATTGGGTTTTGTCATCTAAAGGCCTTGGCGATGTTAAATTGCGAAGCTTTAGAGTTTTCGTCGATGGGCGTGTCCGTGGCGGCCTCGCAAACTTTGATGATTCGCCACAAAACAGGAAGTCGTTATAACTCAGGCATGCATTACCCGATCTGCCTCAAAATTCACACGCTTGATAAGAGTCCTGACCTGAACACGTTTACATGCCAATATCCAGATACGGTTATAGCGCCACCTGCTGGCCACAGGAAATGACATGTTTTACAGTGTGACAAACTCCTCCCACAAATTTTATCGTATCAGCACCAAATTTGAGTGGTGTTATCTGAAAGCTCTAGCGATGATATATTGTGAAGATCTAGAGTTTTCGCAGAGGGGCGTGTCCGTGGCGGCATGACAAACCTCAACGCTTCGCCATGTAACAGGAAGTCCTTATAACTCAACCACACAATGTGCGATCTGCCTGAAACTTCACATGGTTGATAAAAGTCCTCTCCTGAACACATCCACATAACAATATTGAAGTGGGCGTGGCAAAATGACTCGACAGCGCCACCTACAAAAATTAATCGGACGAACCCCCGATATACGAATCACGCACATGCACGAAAATTGGCACACACCTCAAACATGCCAAAACATACGAAAAAGTCTCTTGAAGCCATATCTCAAACCCAACAGGAAGTCAGTTATTTTTAACTTCCTGCGGCGAAAAAGTGGCATTTTTGCCATTTCCAGGCGTTGTATTTTAACGAACTCCTCCTAGGGATTTTATCCGATCGACACCAAAAATGGGTTTTGTCATCTAAAGGCCTTGGCGATGTTAAATTGCGAAGCTTTAGAGTTTTCATCAATGGGCGTGTCCGTGGCGGCCTTGCAAACTTTGACGATTCGCCACAAAACAGGCAGTCGTTATAACTCAGGCATGCATTATCCGATCTGCCTCAAAATTCACACATTTGATAACAGTCCTGACCTGAATACGTTTATATGCTGATATCCAGATAGAGTTATATTGCCACCTGCTGGCCACAGGAAATGACATGTTTTAAATTGTAATACACTCCTTCCGAAAACTTTATTATATCAGCACCAAATTTGAGTGATGTTATTTGAAAGCTCTAGCGATGATATATTGTAAAGATCTAGAGATTTTGCAGAAGCGCGTGTCCGTGGCGGCATGACAAACCTCAACGCTTCGCCATGGAACAGGAAATGCTTATAACTCAACCACACAATGTCCGATCTGCCTGAAACTTCACATGGTCGATTAAATTCCTCTCCTGAAGACATCTACATTGCAATATTGAGTCACAGTCATAGCGCCACCTGCTGGCAACAGGAAATTACATATAACTCAGCCAAACAATGTCCGATCTGGCTGAAAATTCACACGGTGGATAAGATTCCTCTACTGAAGGCATCTACATGCAAATCTTGAGTCACAGTCATAGCGCCACCTGCTGACAAGAGAAAGTTTGGCATGAATGTGTGATTTTCTCAGGTTCTTTATATAAATCGGCTTAAATTAATATTGTTCGCTGTTCTCTGTCATCCTGAGGCCAACGGGCGGCGGTGAGCCTGGGTGCGAGGTCCCTATCATCGCTGCTTGCAGCTTTAATGTTATGATTGAATTGCCTCTTGTTACAGTTATGGATTAGTTTTATAGCAAGCAGGCAATGTTCAAGGACCAATGATATGACCACATTGAAATGATCTACAGTGAGACATCAAAACAACTCACTAGTGGTCATTTAACTGGTGTTCACTAAATTAAAGTGTTTATAAATCGACCAAAGATGTTTTTTATTAGTATCTAATGATGTGCGGTTTGGGTTCGGGTTAGGGCTAGGGGTAGGCCATAGACACTATCAGTAATCTAATATAAAAACAATGGAAGTCCTTACTAAGATAGTAAAACAGACCAGTGTGTTTGTGTGTGTTTACACAGTGCTGTTGGTCATTTGCATGCCTTATAAATTTGCATATCAAATGCGAGCAGCTTTACAGGGTTAATAAGAGCAGTATGAGCTGTAATCTGCAGCTTGTGGGCTGTGTAGAGGGTTGTTTTTGAGGAATGTGAACAGCCTTGACTGCAGATAAGAGGGTCTCGCTCAAATACTTCAGTGCTGTTCCTCTAAACAGGAAGCTGTCTGAACAATGTGCTCCCAAGGGACAGGAAGTGATGCGATCTGAAGCGTAGGAGGAGGGTTTGAGTTTTCCAGACAGCTTTGAGGAGTAGCAAACTTCTTGTGCTCGTCTGATATGGTTAAGATTAGTCGGGATTAGTTGATCTGGTTAACTGTTACAGATCAGATGGATTCATTTGAACCGAATCTCTTATTTGATTCTGAATCATTTCAAATTGAATCGAATGGAATAATGAGGATCACCTGAGGAGCACAGAGCAATGATGCTAGTCATAATATAGAGCTCAGAAACATTTATTTGAACAAAGTCTTTATAAACCGCTTTACCTGTTTACACTGACTAGATGAACCAATTAGGAGAGGGATATTATAATAATGGAGAGTTTCACTTCATCATTTGCTTTCCTTTTTGTCTCGGTTGATTGATAATGGCAAGTTTAAGTGTTGTGCCAAACCAAACCTGTTTCCAAACTTGTTGTTTCTACAGCAAGAAGGTCGCTGGTTCAAGCCTCGGCTGGGTCAGTTGGCGTTTCTTTGTGGAGTTTGCATGTTCTCCCTGTGTTGGCGTGGGTTTCCTCCGGGTGCTCTGGTTTCCCCCACAGTCCAAACACATGCACTATAGGGGAACTGATGAACTAAATTGGCCGTAGTGTATGGGTGTTTCCCAGTTCTGGGTTGCAGCTGAAAGGGCATCCACTGTGTAATAGTTGGCGGTTCATTCCACTGTGGTGACCACTTATAAATAAAGTGACTAAGCTGTAGGAAAATGAATGAATGCATTGAGCAGGCTCATGATCCCAGCGTATAAATTGTAGTGCACATATTGATGGTGTGTGTTTAACTGTGATTGTGACTGAATTATATAATTGTGTGTGTGTGTGTGTTTCTCTCAGACATACTCGGGTCTGTTCTGCGTGGTCATCAACCCCTACAAGAACCTGCCCATCTACTCAGAGGAGATCGTGGACATGTACAAGGGCAAGAAACGCCACGAGATGCCACCGCACATCTACGCCATCACAGACACGGCCTACAGGAGCATGATGCAGGGTACACACACACACACACACACACACACATACACACACACACACACACATACACACACACACACACACATAAAACACAATCTATTTCTCACAGTATTGCAAGTATTTGTTCATTGGTAGTTTTAGTGAAGTTCATTTCCTCCATGGTTTGATCTTTGGTAACAATATCCAGCTCCACACATATTCCATTCCGACTCTGGTGGAGGTTCAGATTGTAGGCACTTTCATGTGCCTTCTTGACGGTTGCTAGACGCATCTTTAATAGGTGCTTGTTTTTCATAGTCACTTTGGTTTCTAAATTGCCCAACTAAAAAAATCAACTCTTTCCATCGCCAAATATATTTTGTAATACTTGTGTTGACCACATGGTTCTTCTAAACGGTTTGGCTGTTTGTCCACACAGGGAACTCCATGTACAGTGTGGTCATGTGGACACTACAATCAGATTTTTTGCCTCATGACGTCAGCTCTGTTTTCTCTGTCCTGATTGGCTAATGCGACTAGTTCACACCAAATGCGGAAGATGCAAATGTTTGCAGCAAATGACATGCATCACAGTGCGTTTTCATGTGGACAAATTTTTTTATAAACGAAGGGAAAACTCTGTTTGCCTCAATGAAACTGAGCATTTTTTGAGCTTGAGCGCCTCCAAGTGGTGTTTACTGTAACATCAGTGTCTCCAGACAAGTGAACTAAAGTCCCAATCTCATTGGTGAAGCAGTTGCGTCAAGCCAAAAAAAATGAGCCAGAGGTATTTTTTAATAATGACGCTTTTACGCCTTTTGGTTTGCACATTGGTGTGCATTAGTGTTGTCGAAAGTATCGTATTTGGTACCTATCAATACTGTCATTTTAAAAATGTCCATTTCCCGCTAACATTTGAGCGCTGTTGAAATTAAATGCAGCTGTTGTTCACCAGTGCTCAACAGAAATGACTGTGATTGACCGTTCACCGCTCTTCACCATGTGTAAACACAGATACACTGACACTGAAGTTTTTTAAAGCCACATAGATAAGTTGAATCATCAATGGACCGCTCGTATGTCAGATCATGGACAGAGCAGCTGATCTTCACATCTTTGAAACAACCCAGTGTTTCTGTATTTACGAACAGCGATCAACTTCACATCCAATCACAGTCATTTCTGTTGAGCAGGTGAACATACCGGCCAATCAGGGTGTACGCTGAACTATGTTAAAGGACTTTTAATTTGTCAGTAACCTGGGTTAAGCACTTCCGGTAAACTGTATGTCTCGTTTTACGCTTGAGCAACTAAATGAATGCCAAAGCAAGGTTATAACAGTTAACGAAAACAAACGACGAAATGAAAACTAATAATTGTCGTTAACTAAAATAAAAATAAAAACGAGAGTTTAAAAAAAAAAAACTATAACTAACTGAAACTGTATTGTGTTCATACAAAACTAACTGAAACTAAAATTATAGCAAAAACCTCCTTCGTTTTCGTCTTTGTAAATGTATTTAATACATAATCTTACTGCAAATCTATTTACTCCGCGCTGCAGGTTTTTGACCGTACAGCAGCTCGGAGTCTGTAGTCCTGCTGCCTTTGGCCGGATCGAGCCGGCTCTCCTCCAGTCAGTCCTCGCTGTTGCTCCCGCGACAAAAACAACGAGTGGACATGACAGCAGCCCGGTGACAGCATTAAATAACGACACTTTAAACTATTACTTTAACACATTTGTGTGTGGGTTTTATGTCTGCATCGCGAATGAATCTATTTTAACCAGATCTTCTAAGTGAACCGGTTGAACTAGTTCACCAAATCAAACTAAATCCTTTGAAACGATTCGTGTCTCCAGTTAGCACTTATCCACAAACTACTTACTTTATAACAAGCCTAATACCGCCTCTGACTCTAAATAATGCAATATATACTCATTCAGTTATTAGAACAGCAACGTTGCATTGAGATCAAAGTTGAGAAGCAGTGAACCGATAATACTGCACATTCGTGATTTAGTGAACCAAACACAAACAGCACAGCCTGCTGTGAGTGAACTAAACTTGTGCGCTGGTGAACCGAGGATTTAAATGAGAAGATCTGGTGAAAAATGCAAGTTTATTTCATAACAGAACATAACAGAAAGTCCTAATGGAATCTAAATAAGTGAATCATGCTTCAGTTAGGCTGCAGAACTTTACTGTGAGACATTTTCTATTAGTTTGAATGTTAGAAAACTAACATTGAAACTAATAAAAACTAAACTAACACTAAATAATTTCAAAATATAGAAATTAATAAACACTAGTAAATCTGCCTCTAAAACTAATTAAATCTAACTGAATTTGAAAACAAAGTCAAAACGAAGTAGAAACTAAGGGTGCTTTCACACCTACACTTTTGTTTCGGAACGTGTCTCGTTTGCCCAGTTAGCGCGGTTCGTTTGGCATATGTGAACAGGGCAATCGCGCTCTGTTCCGCGCCAAAGTAATTGCTCCGAGATCGCTTGAATGAGGTGGTCTCGGCTCGATTGAAACGAACCCTGGAGCGGTTCGATTGCAGTGAGAAAGCGATCTGATCCGAGCGCGGTTATATCACAGTGTTTTGTGGATATGTAATAGGCTTAAGGCTATATGAAGAGAGAATTATGAGTAGGGCGGGAAGTTTCGTGAGTCTCCGGATGCCCGCAAACGAGTAATGAACTCCCGGTAATCTCGCGTCTCCCTCCTGGTCCTCAAATAGGCATCGTCACGCACCCTTCTCACACCTCCCCACCGTGTCTATCCTCAGACACGTCGCGCGCTCGCACCCTGTCAATCACCACCAAACCACCACCTCTCCTGACAGCTGAGCGGGACGCTGCAAAATAAACCCTGACTCTGACCAATGTGAGGAGAGTTTACTCGCACGAGACTTGTTTTAGCTCTTTGTTCCGATTAGAAACTTTGCAGTGTGAAAAAAGCAACAATGTAACATTTGTAATCTCTGTTTCGGAACAACTGAATCCATTCACAGGTGTGAAAGCACCCTAAAACTAATGAAAAATCCAAAACTATTATAACCTTGTGCCAAAGTGCATTTAGCTGATTGCACTTGAATGACATTACAACATCGATGCTGTAAAAGGAACCGGATAAAATGGAAAAAAAGTCACATTAACTGTTCACCGGGAGTTTATCAGTATGGGAAGAAACAGTAGCTCCGCACATACCCTATAAAATACTAAAGTACGTAAGCACTCAAATGTTAACAGGAAGTTTGCATTTTTTACATTTCAATAGCTATTGGTCTTAAAGTTGATACTTTTGACAACGTTAGTGTGCTCAATTATATCAGTGCCTTTTGTTTAGTAATGACTAGGCCCACACAGAATCTGCATGTGCAGAATTCTGCAGATTTCCACAGGTTTTTAGCTCTTCGTTGAGTCTCTTTATTTACTTGTGTAAATGTGTGTAAATCTATATTTATTCTGTTTTTAAATTAGTTTCGGTAATATTATTAACAAATATAAAAGTATTCATATAGGGCTGGGCGATTTTTCTGATTTTTTCGATTAATTCTAATTTACGTTTTAAGATGATTTCATTTTGAATCAAATCGAGAAATCGCGTTTTTAAAATATATATATATATTTAATACATTATAATGGCACCAATGCGCTTTGGTACACTCTCTGTATGAAGCAAGAGGCACACCAGAAGCGCCTCTCGGCGACGCGCCGCACAGCACCACGCCATGGATTTTAGAATTCTAAACAGGTTTCTATACACACACCGGCACCGCCCAGCCACGATTCACAAAGCAGTTCTCATTTCAGCCGTGCCACAGAGCGCCATCTGATTAGTTTCATGTTAAATATCATGTGAATGTGCGCGTTTGGTGTGTGATAGTTTAAACTGTCATGTCCGCACCGTATCGCGGGCGCTTCTGGTGTGCGACCTGCTTGACTGCCTGTTAAAGCGTGAAGTCATGTAGGATTTTACTTGTTGCACGTCTGTGTGGATTGTCAAGACAAATTCCCTCAAGTCGATAAACTCGATCTCAACACGAGCAGAGGTGAGGGCCAGTAGCAGTGAAAATGAAAGTATCCGCCCCCATCACGTCATTTAGCGGACCTGGTTGAAAACCAGACAGATCAGCCAGCATAATAGAGAGTGGAGCAAAGCGCATCAAATGATCAGTATTTAAAAGGGGGAAAAAAGAAAAATAGATTAAATATATTATTTTATATTAGACACACATGTGCTACTTGTATTTGCTCCTGCTATAAGTCCACAACTTCACACATTGGGTTAAATTAGGCTTTACAGTTTCCATGATCAGTCCTTTTCTTCCACTGTATCTTTTTAAGAAAAAGGCAGCAGCATTACAACCTGACATTCAATCAGAAGACAAAGTCAAAGCCGAGCTGACAGCCAATCTTTCCTAGGCTCAGCAAAACTTGCAAAAAATACCCCTGTATTCCTGCAACTGCAATATTAACACAAATATTTATTCAAATCTTCAGCAACGCTATTTAACTCGTGGATTTGTTTTACATTTATTTACACCTTGACCAATTTTTTTATGACATGGCCATTAAAACTACAATTACTTTTAAAGAGAATGTTACTTCAGTCATGTTGTTGTAATGTTTTGAGAAGACTAGTAACACAAAAACAAAAAATGAAATTGAAATTGAAATTGTGAATAGGTCAAACTTTATTAAAAAAAAACTAGACTTTTTTTTTTTCTTAATCGCCCAGCCCTATATTCATATGATTTGTTTACAATACAGTTTGTAAAGTCTTTAAGTAGAGATATTGTATGAGTGACTTGCTTTGTTTACCAAATAAGTTAATCTAATTGGATTTGCATTGTAAACATTAAATAGAAGTTAAAAAGGTATTACTTTTTATTTCCTATATGAAGTTATTAGTTATGATACTCCCCAAGTAATTCCACATAAAACTCCAATAAAATTCTTTGCAGAAATGGCAAAAACATGTCTGCAGATTCTGTCTGGCCCTCCTCATGAGGCGTTAAAGTCAGGGAAATGCACAAGTAAAACTTCCACTGTGCACAGGCCTTAAGTCATATACCCATGCTACTCTACAACTTTGTGTCCCTGTAAACCATTTAAACCTGTACCAATATACACACAAACACTTCCCAAAGGAAATGGAGATTGAATGACAGGAAGCCTAAACAAAAAAAAATCAACAGCTTTTACAGTCATTTCAGGAGTGAAGACAAAACCGATCATGACATTGATTGAACATTTCATGCGTTCACACACACATCAAAACAAATCCAATGAAACTACATGCATTTCATCTCACTGATGTTTATTTACATATTTACTTAATCAAAAATATGTGATAAATGTGCAAAAAAGAAAACATTTATTCCTTATATTTATTCATTTTTCTTCTGCTTAGTCCCTTATTTATCAGAGGTCACCACAGCGGAATGAACCGCCAACTATTCGACCAAATGTATTACACAGCGGATGCCCTTCCAGCTGCAACGCAGTTTTGGGAAACACCCACACACACTCACATTCACACACTACGGTCAATTTAGTTCATCAATTCCCCTCTAGCGCATGTGTTTGGCACCCTGAGGAAACCCACGCCAGCACTGGGAGAACATGCAAACTCCACACAGACATAACAACTGACCCAGCCGAGACTAGAGACGGCGACCTTCTTGCTGTGAGGCCACAGTTCTAATCACTGAGCCACCATGCCGCCCTCATTCCTTATTTACATATGTAAATATAATTACAGCTTAGTTTGTTGATTAAAGCAGAATTGAAGCAGAATCCAACATCCAGAGTGGAATACATTCATAAAATAGAGATATTCAAATGAGAGGATCTTCATAACTGTGACGAGTCTCTTTGACTAACCCACTGATCGGCCGAAAGCGGGAAGGACAGAGACTCGTCTGCTCAATTGGGAACACCTGAGTTCCCCTCTATAAAAGCCAGCAGTGTTGGCTTGTGAGGAGCCATGCTTTTGCTCCTGTTTGTTTTGTTTCTTTTTTACCTTTGGTTAATATTCGATTTTGCTGACCTAAAGTGAGCACTTGATTATTCTTTAGTAGGGGTGTCACGATTTCGATTTTTAATCAAAATTGATCGAAATTTATGCTCAACTTCGATTATCGAATCAAAAAATAGTATTGTCGATGTTGCCACGCCCCCATGTCACGTCAGCTTGGCTTGTCAAGCGGGTAAAAACACGCTTGTTGAAGTGCTTGTTGAACTGCAGACGCAGGAGACCCGTCGACAGAACTTAAACCCTCTCCTCTTTCAATGAAGTCGCCGGTGTGGAAGCATTTGGGATTTCCAGTGAGTTATGTTGACAACGTTTGTGTTGTCGACAAAAAAAAAAAAAAAAAAACAGTTTGCAAGCTCTGCTATGTACGTATTACGGTTGGGTTGATAGACGATAGGCGCATCGCGATCCTCCTCCCCGCACCCGTTACACATCCGCTCGCGAAAAGTACACACTCAGACCCTGTTTACACTAATATGTCTTTGTTTTTAAATGGCATTTTAGAACGACAACGATCCACTTCCACACTGGCGTATAGCATTTCTGAGCAGCCCTCCTTCCTCTCTACTGCTGAAAACGCACATCACGTGACCACACACACTCATTCACACAGACACAGACGCACACACAGACAGCGGGTCCAGGCAGTCAGCGGATCAGTAGACTGCTTCAATCTTTACTTTTACACTTGTACTTAGTCATTTTAGCGAACACCTCAGATACTGTTGGCTGGTTCCAGTTGGTTGTGCGTCTTTTTTACCGACGCCATTATAACGACACAGATCACTGCCTATTCACGAGTCCCGCAGAAAAAGTGATTGACAGGTGGTGATTATGTGTGTATCTTGCCTTTATTCATTTACTGTATGATTTTTTATGGGTAAAACAAAGACCATGCAGGTCAGGTAGTTTAAACGGTAGGCTACAAATAATTAATTCGTAATTAATTAATTATTCATAATCGAATCGAATCGTGACTTTAGAATCGAAAATGTAATCGAATCGAGAGATTTGGAGGATCGTGACACCCTTATTCTTTAATGTTTAAATAAATACTTTTCGGTACCACACCGTCCTGTGTTTGTCCTCCCTTTAATTTGTCATTGCCTTTGAGCCGGGCCATGACAATAACCGATCGAAATAAAGGACTGTCTGAAATCCTGATCACAATTATAGATTCTATTATTATTTTAATCATGTAGTTACATTATAATAGTGAATGTCTTCTCACTGCAAGTTCCCCACGGGTTCCTCATGGTTGAGCAAGCGGTTTTCTGGAAAGGCGTTTCCCAGTCACAGGAAGTCAGATATCGACTTCCTGTTTTGTGGTTTGAGCCCTTCCTGCTGTAGAGAGTGTGTTCAGAGTTAAACTCGGTCTTCTTTCTGCTGGAGAATGTTAAAAACAGCACAGAAAGTGATGGAAAAGCACATTCTTGTACCAAAACTGGTGTATTTTTCTGATCTTGAGTTTATTGTAAGCCTTACTTGCCTCTAATTTAATAGTTTGTTCATTGGGCTAGTTAAATAAACCAAGAACTTAACATTATAAAGGTTTCATTTCCTGCCAAATGAACTGTTCAAATAAATCAAATGCATCCTTCGGGTTAAAAAAAAAGCATGTTTTTTTCATGTAGCTTTAAGTAATAATTATTTATAGTAAATAAATAAGATCTTAACTAGTAGAGGTGGCTCAGTGGTTGGCAATGTGGCCTCACAGCTAGAAGGTCACTGGTTCAAGCCTCGGCTGGGTCAGTTGGTGTTTATAACACATATAGGGGAATTGATTAACTAAATTGGCTGTAGTGTATGTGTGTGAATTGAGTGTGTATGGGTGTTTACCACTACTGGGTTGCAGCTGGAGGGGCATCCGCTGTGTAAAACATAATCTGGAATAGTTGGCGGTTCATTCCACTGTGGCAACCCCTGATAAATAAGTGACTTAGCTGGAGTTGAATGAATGAATGAATGAATAGTAAAACTAAACTAAATTAAATGTCCACTGTTTTTCTCCTGATCAGCCAGCGCAGTGTTTTTGGAGTGTTTTAAATGTTTTGACTGCAAAATGATTAATATTGATTTTTGTCTCCGCCCACAGACCGTGAGGACCAATCGATTCTCTGCACGTGAGTCACATGATCCAGCATGTGTGATAAAATAAGGCTGTGATCCATTTCTGAAGCTTATTTGAGTGTTTGTGTAAATGCATGTTATGTTTGTCTATTTGTGTTTGTGTTTGTTGTTTTTTTGTCATTATGTCTATATATATATATATATATATATATATATATATATATATATATATATATATATATATATATATATAGTATTTTATATATATATATATATATATATATATATATATATATATATATTTTTTTTTTTTTTTAATATACATATACTTTATCTATATATATAGGCACATATATTATACACTTGTGTGTGTGTAGCATATATATATATATATATATATATATATTTAGATATATATATATATATATATATATATATATATATATATATATATATATATTATGTATATATAGGCACATATATAGCTTGTATATAGGCACATATATTATACACTTGTGAGTGTGTGTAGCATATATATATATATATATATATATATATATAGGCACATATATCATATACATACACGTGCGTGCGTGCGTGTGTGTGTGTCTGGTTATGTGTTTTTTGTGTTTTGTTTGTTTGTCAGTGTTTCTGTGTGTTTTGTGCATGTTTGTGTGTGTTTATATAAATGTGCGTTTGTGTGTGTTTTGACTATATACTGTGTAGAAATGCGTTTTATGCATGAATGTCTGTTTTGTGTGTGTTTATTTATTCGTGTGTGGTTGTCTGTGTCTTTGTGTGTGTGTTTTGCATTTTGTTTGTTTGTGCATGTGTGTTTCTGTGTGTTTTGTGCATGTTTGTGTGTGCTTATATAAATATGTGGGGTTTTTTTTGTCTATGCATATTTGTGTGTGCGTGCATGCCTGCTTTTATATATGTATTTGGTATTTATTTTGTGTGTGTGTTTCTGTGTGCGTGCATGTCTTTTTGTGTCTGTATATCTATATATGATTTTGTGTGTGTTTTTTCAGAGGTGAATCTGGAGCTGGAAAGACAGAAAACACCAAGAAGGTCATTCAGTATCTGGCTCACGTGGCGTCATCTCACAAAACCAAGAAAGACCAGGTGTGTGTGTGTGTGTGTGTGTGTGTGTGTGTGCGTGTCCGTGTGCGTGTGTGTGTTCCTCTGTTCTCCACCCTTCTTTCATCTGCCTTCACATCACATTATCAGGTCAGGAATGTGGAGCAGAAACAGGCAAACACACCCAACACATCTCTTTCTGATGTTACATAGTCACGTATGATGTCACTTCCTGCTGATGTATGGCATTGGCTCTCCGCGCAGTGTTTAATGTGAACAGAATGAAAGAGATGGATATGCTTTAATACTTGAATGATTTTATTTTCCAACAAATGGCCAGTAAAAGGAGACACTTCAGTTTCAGAGTACTAAACTAAGTAAAATCACACTCAATATTTTATGTTTATTCATTTATATTTATTTTTGTTTATGTATTTATTTTGTTTATTTATTTAATGTTTATTTATTATTTCATTTATTTTATTTTCGGCTTAGTCCCTTTGTTAATCAGGGGTCACCATAGCGTAATGAACCGTCAACTATTCCAGCATATGTTTTACACAGCTGATGCTCTTCCAGCAGCAACCTATCACTGGAAAACACCCATACACTTACATACATTCACACTCATACACTATGGCCAATTTAGTTAATCAATTCCCCTATAGCGCTTATTTATTTATTTTATATTTATTTCTTTTGTTTATTTCTTTCTTTTTTTGTTTGTTTATCTATTTTTTGTATATTTATTTATTTTGTTTATTTATTTTATATTTATTTATTCATTTTGTTTATTTATTTATTTTGTTTATATGTTTATTTTTCATTTATTTATTTATTTTTATTTATTTTATATTATTTATTTATTTTGTTTATTTGTTTATTTTTTATTTATTTATATATATTTATTTTATATTTATTTATTTATTTTGTTTATTTATTGATCTTTTTTATTTTATGTTTATTATTTATTTTACATTTATTAATTTTATATTTATTTATTTTACATTTATTTATTTATTTTTTGTTTGTTTATTTAGTTTATTTGTTTATTTTTCATTCATTTATTTTTTATTTTTTATGTTGTTTATTTATTTTGTTTGTTTATTTATTTTGTTTATTTATTCAATTATGTTAAATAATTTATTTTATTTATTTTATATTATTTATTCATTTTGTGTTTTTTTTAATCATGTTTATTTGACTATTTGCAGAAATACAAAAAAATAAAAAATTCTTATCAAACTAAACTTAAATTAACTTAAATTATCCTATTTTTGTATAATTCGTCTATTTGAAGAAATACGGTTTTTTACATTTCTATATATATATATATATATATATATATATATATATATATATATATATATATATATATATATATATATATATATATATATATATATATTGCAGTGTAGTTAAAGTATTTTTAAAATGTATTTTATGCTTTTGAACATGATAAAAACATTTGGTTAGCAGACTTAGTTGTCTACTTTTTTGTATTTAGTTTTTTTATGTACTAAAAAATTACTCTCACCATCTAGTTTTTAACCACATTTGCATTTATAGAGCGCAGTTATGACACACAATAATCCTCAATAAAGCTCCTTCCTGAGCTCCTGAGGTTCACTAGTGCGTTTGTCCAGAGTTTGCTGGAAAGTGTATGTGTGTGTGAATAAGCGCTCCTGCTGTGTGTTAGTGAGCGCATCTCTCTTTTTCCACTGGCTCTGGATCTGCTGTTTGCCTCAGAGTGAGAGTAAGTTTGAGTGTTTTTCTCTTTATGTCAACAGAGCAGCTCCGTCCTGTCACATGTGAGTTACACCATCTTCATCTTCCTCATCATCTCTCTGTCTGTCCCCCCTCTCTCTCTGCTGGGTGAATGAGCCGAGCTGAAGCTTCATTCAGACTCTTCACACTGAGACTAAAACACACCTCCGGCTCTCCTCAATGTAAACGTGAACTAAGCATCTGCAAAAACACACGCGTAAAGAAAAATCACATGTTTTCTCTCTAGATAAATAGGGCAGGGTGTTGTTCAGATGATTCAATTTGATTCTGATTTACAAGCTTTTGATTCAGTGTGACTTTTAAATTGATTATTAATTTGATTCCAAAGTGACTCTTGATTAGGTTTTCTAGTCGATTCTGATGTAGTTGATTCTCGATGTGATTCCGATGTGACTCTTGATTTGATTCTCAAGTCAACTCCGATTGATTTGATTTGATTCCGATGTGACTCTTATTTTCTTAAGTCGATTCAAATGTATTTGATTCTCGATTTAATTCCGATTTGACTCTTCATTTGATTCTTAAGTCGAGTCTAATGTATTTGATTCTTGATATGATTCTGTTGTGACTCTTAATTTGATTCTAAAGTCGATTCTTATGTATTTGATTCTCAATTCAATTTCGATGTCAATGTTAATTTGATTCTCAAGTCGATTCTAATGTATTTGATTGTCGATTCCATTCTAATTTGACTCCTAATTTGATTCTCATATCGATTCTAAGGTATTTAAGTCTCGATTTAATTCCAAGTCATTTCCGATGGAATTGATTCGATTTTGATGTGACTCTAATTTGATTCTCAAGTCAATGATGTATTTGGTTCTCGATTCTATTCCGATGTGACTCTTTGATTCTCCAGTCAATTCCGATGTATTTAATTCTCGATTTGCTTCCGATGTGACTTATGATTTGATCGTCAAGTCAGTTCCAATGTATTTAATTCTTGATTCGGTTCCGATGTGACTCTTGATTTGTTTTTCAAGACAATTCTCATGTATTTTGAATGTCAATTTGATTCCGATGTGACTCTTGATTTAATTATCAATTCAATTTCGATGTGACTCTGGATTTGTTTCTCAAATCAATTCAGATATATTTGATTCACGATTCAATTCTAATGTGACTTTTGATTTGATTGTCAAGTCAATTCTTATATATTTGATTCTTGATTCAATTCCAGTATGACTCTTGATTTGATCCTTCAGTCAATTCTAATGTATTTGATTCCGATGTGAATCTTGATTTGATCCACATGTTAATTCCAATGTATTCGATTTTTAATTTGATTCCGATGTGACACTTGATTTAATTCTTAAGTCAATTTTAATGTATTTGATTCTTGATTCGATTCCGATGTGACACTTGATTTGATTTTCTAGTTGATTGTAATGTATTTGATTTTCAATTCAATTTCGATGTCACTCTTAATTTGATTCTAAAGTCCATTCTTATGTACTTGATTCATGATTCGATTCCAATGTGACTCTTGATTTGATTCTCAAGTCGATTCTGAACTATTTGATTCTCGATTCGATTTAGATGTGACTCTTGATTCGATTCCCAATTTGTTTCCAATGTATTTCATTATCGATTCGATTCCAGTGTGACATTTCATTTTCTAGTCGATTCTAATCTATTTGATTTTCGATAAAATTTCGACGTGACTCTTAATTTAATTCTAAAGTCGATTCTAATGTAATTGATTCCTGATTCTATTCCAATGAGACTCTTGATTTGATTCTCAAGTCAATTCTGATATATTTGATTTTTCGATTTAAATCCGATGTGACACTTGATTTGATTCTCAATTCGATTCTAATGTAATTGACTCCGATGTGACTCTTGACAAAACATTTATATAAAAATCAAATATTCTTGGCTTGTGAGAATCGATATGAACTCAAGAACTTCTACTAAAGCTCTAAAGTAAGTGTGTTTTTGTGGCCGGTGCTGCAGATGAGGAGTGTTACTGCAGATGCTCTCAGTCTGACGGGTCTGAATGCCACCACGCGTCTCTGTTCTGTGTTTCTGAGCTCATGGGAACTGGCTTTGGTCAATAAATAAGTGTGTATTTCTGCCTCTGGGAGAATAAACAGTGCCGATGGACACGTCAGCGCTGCAGGAATGAACCCTGCTGTTTTACAAGAGCATGTGAAGCGGAGCACATGCTAACACGATTCAACAAGATGACCATTGTTTCTGCGTGTGTCCTGCATATCTGGACTTAAAGGAACAGCCGGTGCTTATTAAAGAGAGAGAGATTACATGAAAAATACTAGAGTGTTTTTGAACCATACTATAGTGAAGTGTCTTACCCTGCATTTAATATAGTGTTTAGAAGTCTTTGTTAATGAACACTGCAGCACACTGTAGTATAACCTATAGTAAACCTGTAAACTAATAAATACTGTATTATAATCCAGTCGTTACTACAGTAAACTGTGGGATATTGTAGTGTAATATACCCTATAGTTGTTGAAAACTACAATATTGGGTCATTTGTTTATATTAATACAGTTTTGTTACTGTTACAACTATAGAATTACGACAACAGACTAATTACTAGTGTTTTTACCATAGCAACTATACAATTACCACAATAGAGTAGTCACTGTTGTTACTATAGTATTTATAGAATTGCCACAACAGACTAACTACTATTGTTGATACCATAGCAACTATAGAATTACCACAACACTCTAAATACTGTTGTTACCATACCAACTTTAGATTCGCAACAATAGACTAGTTACTATTGTTGTTGTTGTTACCATAGCAACTATAGAATTACCACAACAAACCAATTACTATTGTTGTTGTTGTTACCTTAGCAACTACAGAATTACCACAAAAATCTAATTACTGTTTTAACCATAGCAACTATAGAATTACCACAATAGACTACTATTGTTGTTACCATAGCAACTAGAGAATTACCACAATAACTAATTACAATTGTTGTTGCCATAGCAACTAGAGAATTACCACAACAGACAAATTACTATTGTTGCCATAGCAACTATAGATTTGCCACAACAGACAAATCATTATTGTTGTTACCATAGCAACTACAGAATTACCACAACTGACTAGATACTATTGTTGTTACTATAGCAACTAAAGAATTGCCACAGCATACTAATTTCTATTATTGTTACCATAGCAACTACAGAATTGCCATGACAGGCAAATTACTGTTGATGTAACCTATAGCAACTGTATAATTAACACAACTGACTAATTACTATTTTTTGTTTCTATAGCAACTATAGTATTACCACAACAGACTAATATTGTTTTTGTTACCATAGTAACTACAGTATTACCACAACAGACAAATTGCTACTTTTGTTACCATAGCAACTATACAATCACCACAACTGACTTATCACTATTGTTGTGTTATTATAGCAACTATAGAATTGCCACTACTGTCTAATTACTATTGTTGTAACCATAGCAACTGTAGAATTACCACAACAGACTAATTACTATTGTTGTAACTAGTACTATTGTTATCATAGCAACTATAGAATTACCACAACTGACAAATTATTGTTGTTACTATAGCAACTATAGAATCACCACGACAGACTAATTACTATTGTTGTTACCATAGAATTACCTTAACACACAATTGTAGTTGTTGTGTTACCATTGAAACTAGAACTACCACCACAAGTATGTTTACTACAGTATGGTTCAAAAACACTATAGTATATATTTTTTCAAACTCAAGTGAATCTGTCAGTTCTCAAGTGGTTCCAAACATTTAAGAGTTTTGCTTTTCTGCTGAGCACAAAAGAAGATATTGTGAAGAATGTTGGGTACTAGTAGTTATTGAATCCATAGTATGGAAATAAGTACTATAAAAAGTAAATGGCTGCCGATTTTTAGCATTCTTCACAATATGTTATTATACGCAGAGGTTGAATAAATGATGACAGAATAAATTTTGTGGGGTGAAAAAAATCTTTAAATGCAAACATATGTTCTGAAATGTATTTTTAATGGTGGAGGATCATCTGGTGATGTCATCGATGTGGGTGAGGCTTCATTTATGTAAATGAGATGGGGAGTGTTAATTATTTTATATAAATGTTGAAGTGTGTCATTCTTTTGAAGTAATTTTTAATGTTCAGTTTCCGTTTTCATTCAGGCTAATTTAAATTTGTTCAAGATTTTTTACCACCAAATATATTATTAGTTTTTATTCATATTTTATATTATTTATTATTCTGAAGTTTTCCCCAAATGTTTTTATTTTCATTCATTTGTTTTCAGTTTTTATTTAAATTTATTCAATTAATTTATTCATACAACAAAATTCTATTAGTCAATTTTTTTTAGTGTAGTTATTTTCAAGATGTTGTTATATATATATATATATATATATATATATATATATATATATATATATATATATTTGATTAATGAAGAATTTATTGATTTTAATTTCAGATAGCGGTTGTAACATTCTTATGCTGCGTTCACACCAGACCCGGAAGAAGCGTCAAGCGCGAGTGATTTACATGTCAAGTCAATGCAAAGATGGGAATAGACATCGTGTGGTGCAGTACGCATGAATAAGGCAGCGCGAATGACGTGATTCACGCGAATGAAGTGGCGCGAGTTGAGCATTTTGCACGATTGATGCGCTTGCATATCTCGTTTCGCGTGAATCTCTCTATTTCGAAAATCTAAACTTAGGCAGAAATTCACACTGCGTTAACCAATCAGAAGCTTGCTTAAATGGGGGCGTGATAATGATGTAGCACCTGTTGTTGGTTACCTGGGGGAAAATCCTCCTGCCGACACCGACAATAGTTCATCAAATAGGGCTCATTTGGAATCACCGCTAAAAGATTATGAGCTCACAGAGCTGCTGCACCTCTGAAAGGATGTAGTGGACTCAGACACGACTCCAAACAAATCGACGCTGTTTTTCAGCCTTCTAAAGCACATAAACACTGTTATTCTCTCAATAAAATCCATGTCAGCCATTTAGCAACGAAGCTACAGTCACCGGGCAGACAGAAGCCCCGCCCATCACACGAATCTGCGTCTGGTGTGCAGCAGATTTGATGCACTAATGAAGGGAGTAAATACAAAATGTTCATGCATCTATTTACGCGCGAATAGCATTATTTATCTGCGATTGCTACGTCTGGTGTGAACACAGCATTACTGAACCTTGTGTTTATCTTTAAGGGGAATAATGAGGGTTTGTGCGTTGAGTGTGTAGGGACAGTGTTTCTGTATGTTCAGGGGTGACGGGACGTTCTCTTTACTGGTGTTTTGGGATTGGAATCAGAATATGTGCTTATCCATGTGTGTGTTTTGGCTTATTTGCTCCTGTGCGGGACACTTTTGATGCTGTTTAAGCTGAACCGAGCTGTGATTGGTCGGTTCAAGCTCAGCTACGCTGTGATTGGTGTATTTAAGCTCTGCTGCTCTGTGATCGGTGCACTCAAGCTAAACTGCTGCGAATGATCCACTTAAGCTGAACTGAGCTGTGATTGGTGCGTTTGAGCTGAACTGAGCTGTGATTGGTGTGTTTGAGCGCAGGGCGAGCTGGAGAAGCAGCTGCTGCAGGCAAACCCGATCCTGGAAGCCTTCGGAAACGCCAAGACCGTCAAAAACGACAACTCGTCTCGATTTGTAAGTCTCTCTTGCTTTATATCTTATTTCAGTTCCTGTGTAAATACATGTTCCATAGATCTTTCATCTGCTCTGTGTTTCAGGGCAAATTCATCAGAATCAACTTTGACGTCAACGGCTACATCGTTGGAGCCAATATTGAAACCTGTATCTTTATGAGCTGCTTAATACGCTTTAAATATCAGGGTCATTATCTCTAGGATATAGGAGTACTGGCTTACTTGCATATTTATTATGTTGATCAAATTAATTGGGGGATTTACAGCTCACTGCAGAGGTTTACATGGCACAATAAAAGCTTTTTTTACTTTGTTTTTGTCTTGTTTCTAGTCCAAATATCTCCAAATTCTTAAATTAAGAAGCATTTTCTAGACATTTAAAGCATATTGTCTTGTTTTGAGAAACAATGAGTTAAAATTAAGCAAGTTTTTCTTTAAAACAAACTAAATAATCTTGGTTTGACATGATCTTATTCTGCTTACCCCATTGGTGCAGATTATTTAGCTTGTTTTAAGGAAAAACTCTTCATTTTAGCGTCATTATTTCTGAAAACATGACATTGTGTTTTGCTTGTCTAGAAAATGCTGCTTGATTTAAGAGTTTTAAATATTTGGACTAGAAACAAGACAACAAAACGAAGTAAGAAAAGCATTTCGGCAGTGTTTGACTTCTTGAAAATCCATACATTTACTCAAAGTAAAAACAAAATGTAAATGCAGATAAACAGGTTGTCATAATATGATATTGTATTAATATAAATATTTCTGTCACTCAAAATCTCATTTTTATCTTTAAATAGAAGCATATAATAAAAATAACATAACTTGTTATGACTTCTAAACTTGATTAGGAAATGTCTAAGGCTGCTTTCACGCCTGTAAATCCATTGTTTTGTTCTGAAACAGGGATTAAAATTGTTACAATATTGTTCGTTGCTCAATGGCAATATTGTTAAAACAAGTCACGTGCGAGTGAACTCTCCTCACAAGTTTGGTTTATTTTTCCTGCTCAGCTGTCATGCGTCGTTAATTTATGACTATGAGCAATAAGACATAAGCGAAAAGCTACACTTTCATTTTGAATGGTGACACCCACAGACATCACCAAATATAAATCAGAGGTAAGACTTTCTCATCCAGAGCAGTTGGTTTATGCATTATAGGCTTTACATTATAGAGAGAAATAACAGATAAACCAAGCCTGCTGTTCGGTCAATTTTCCCAATGGATAAACAGCTCTTGTTAATAGTTAACATGCTTTCACTTTCCTATTTGACATAAAATACACGTTTACTGGTAGGAATGGTGATATCCCGCCCTACTCGTCATTCTCTCTTCATATAGCTGTATATATGGCTATTACACAACGATAAAGGCTGATTTATACTTCTGCGTCAAACCCCGACGTATGCTATGGCGTTGACGCATAGCCCTTCGCCGTGGCCGTCGCCGTCACTGACGTGCACCTCTCAAAAAATGTAACTACACGTCACAACAACGCGTAGCGCAAGCTCTGTGATTGGTCGGCTTGGTAACGCTGACGAGTCTGGGCGAGACCGAGAGCCGCGCTAGACCAATGGAGCAACTTTTTACAAGTGTGGAGTCCCGTGAAGGAGCTCCGGATGGAAAGTTTTGTTTTGTGTTTACCTCTTAGTTAAAGTTGTTGCACGTCCGCCGGTTCCTGCCTCAAAATGAGAGAGTTTGAGCCACTTGTACATCCCGGAAGTGTTCAGGAAAAGCAAAACAGCAGCGAAGAAACTCGACACAGAGGAACATTTACACCTCACTGCCAACTAGCGTTTCAGAAGTGTTAATGCAGACCAACAGAGACAGTGCACAGAAGTATAAATGCACAGCTACGGGCGTTGCATGTGCCGTGGGTCACGCTGGTCACTTGATGCAGAAGTATAAAACAGGCTTAACACACTGTGATATAGCCTGGTTAGTTTGTTGGATTGTAATGCTTTCTCATTACAATCGATACGCTTCAAAGTTCGTTTCATTTGAGCCGAGACCTCATTCAGGTGGTCTCTGGCTGATTGTTTTGGTGCTGATGAGAGCGGGGTTGCTGAATTCACATATGCCAAACTAATCGTGCTAAAGAGGCAAACGCACCAGGTACTGAAACAAATGTCTAGGCGTGAAAGCACCCTAAATTACTAAATTCTCCTGAAAGGAAATCCAATCGGGTCCTAAAAGTCTTAAATGGCTTTTGAGTAAATTAAGGCCTTAAAGCCTTAAATCAGAGCAGCACATGTTATATTCATATGATCATGGCTATAATTTACATGAGGATTTTTTCCCGTCAAGTTTTTTATTTTAAAGGGAAGCGTAAGCATAATTTGTGCACTGTAGATCAAATATTTCTTCTAGTTTCTTCAGTTAGGGTCTTTAAAAAAGTCTTAATGTCTAAAATCTTCAAGACATTTTTGCAACATAAACCTCTAGAATGTCATTGACTTCCTAAATATGCAAATGAGCCAGCACTCTTACCGGAATCATAGGTCATGAATAATTAATGAGGCAGTTGAGATTGGCTGCTTGTTGTCTATGTTATGGTGATGCTCTGAAAATGTCTATTGTTGCTAATGAAAGCTGCTAGTCTTTAAACACTAAATGCATCATGTAAACAAACGAGTCTATCCTTGACTCTGACTGTCAGACCTGCTGGAGAAGTCCAGAGCCATCCGTCAGGCTAAAGAAGAGCGAACCTTCCACATGTTCTACTACATGCTGACCGGCGTAGGAGACAAACTTCGCTGTAAGCGTCTGCACTGCTTTTACGTCAAGCATAAAGAGTTGAAGTTAGAATTATTCACCCTCCTTTTCTTTCTTAAAGTTTGACCAGATGATGTTTAACCGATTCAGGAATTGCTCACAGTATTTCCTATAATATTTTTTCTTCTGGAGAACGTCTTATTTGTTTTATTTCAGCTAGAATTAAAGCAGTTTTTAATTGTTTTAAAGCCATTTTAGGGTCAATATTATTGGTCCCCTTTAGCAATATTTATTTTGGATTGTCTCCCGATCAAACCACTGTTATACAATGACTTGCCTAATTATCCTAATTAACCTAGTTAAGCCTTTAAATGTCACTTTAAGCTGAATACTAAATATTACTTACTGTCATCATGGCAAAGATAAAAGAAATCATTTATTAGAGATGAGTTATTAAAACTATTATGTGTAGAAATGTGTTCTGAACAGTTTTTCTCTTAATTAAACAGAAATTGGGGTAAAGAAATACAGGGGAGCTAATAATTCTGACTTCATCTGTAAATGACTGCAGTCTTCATACAAAAGTTTGTCAATACAAACTGTACAAATTTGCTTCATCAGCTGAGCTGTGTCTGGAGGGCTACAATAAGTACCGCTTCCTGTCCAATGGGAACGTGACCATCCCGGGACAGCAGGACCGAGACATGTACGTGGAGACTGTGGAGGCCATGAGGATTATGGGCTTCTCTGAGGAGGAGCATGTCGGTGTGTATAAACAGTAGAGCTGCTCATAAATGTGACGTAATTATTAGCTAGATGTGTTAGGTGTGTGTTTTTATTATTGTGTGTGTCGCCCCCTGCAGGTCTGCTGAGGGTTATTTCATCTGTGCTGCAGCTGGGCAACATGTCCTTCAAGAAGGAGCGTCATTCAGACCAGGCCTCCATGCCTGATGACACCGGTAAATAAATAAATATACAGTTTATGACGGTTAAACACATCCATTAGGCTTCCTGTAGCTTTGTTGACATCATAAAGATAACAAGTGGTTTACTTATCTAAACTGGTCAAAAAAATTTATTTTCTGGTCTAAATTGGCCTAGGTTGGTCATTACCGTTTAAAAATGGTAATTAGCTACTCCCCAAACTGAGCATTAAGTGGTCTGGTCTGTTATAAGAGTATTTGTTAACTAGTCTGATGTCAAAACTATCATTAGCCTTTCCAAACTAGTTAACAATTGTTAGTAGCTGATACAAACTAGTTGAAAATGATTAATAGCTGGTCAAAAACTGATATTAATTGGACTAACTTGTCAAAAACTAACTTGGTCTTGGTCTGTCTTGGTTATTTATGATCCAAACTGGTAAAATTGTTTTTTAACTGATCAACAGTATTCTATGTTGGTAAATTGGACAAAAACATTATTAGCTGGACCTTTAACTGATTCCTGCATGTTTAAGAGTGCTCTTGACCTGGTCCAAATTGTAAAAAGCTGCTCCAAATTGGCCAAAGAAAATGCAATTAGCTTGTTCAGACTTGCTGACGATGGTCATTAACTTGTTAAAGATGGTAATTAGCTTCTACATACTAACTATTAATTGGTCCTGGCTGTTCAAGAGTGTCTGTTAACTGGTCTGATCTGGTCAAAATTGTTATTAGCTGGTCATTAACTTGTCCATAGTGGTAAAAAAAAACAGTTATTTATCAGTAATTAGCTGGCTCAAGTTGGCCGAACTTGCTCAATCGTCATTCCAAATAACTTAACATTTGTTAATAGCTGGTACAAGCTAGTTAAAAATTGTTGTGAGTCATTCCAAGCTTGTTGAAATTAGCTGGTTCAGAAATATTATTGGTTGGTCTAACTTGTCAAAAATGTTCAATCAGTCATTAGCTGGTCCAAACTAGTCAAAAAATGGACATTTACTAGTCTAAAATTGTTAACAGTTGTTTGTAGCTGGTACAGACTGGTTGAAAATGGTGATTAGCTGGTCCAAAAATGCTCTTAGTTGGAATAACTTGTCAAAAATGGTAGTTTGCTGCTACAAACTGGCCTTTAACTGGTCCAGGCTATTTAGACATTCATTAACTAGTCTGACCTGGTCAAAATTGATATTAGCCAGTCAAAAAATGTAATTTAGTTATTAGCAGGTTCAAACATTGTCATTAACTTGTCCAAACTGGTCAGAAATAGTCATTAGCTACACCAAACTGGTTACCTGTTGATCCTATTAGCTCTTCCAAACTTGTTGAAATAGTTATTAGCTAGTCCAGAAATATTATTGGATGGTCTAACTTTTAAAAACATAAAAAAATTCTGATTAGCTTACCAGACTCATTGACAGTGGTAATTTACTTGTCAAAAATATTAATTAGCTGGTCCAGTCTGTTCAAGAGTAGTCATTAAGTGGTCTGACCTGGTCAAAAGTGTCATTAGCGGGTTACAAATGGTCAATAACTTGTCCATAATTGTTATTTGGCCTTTACTGGTTTAAGCAGACCAAACATTTACAGTTGCTAGTCTAAAATGGTTATTAGTTGTTTGTAACTGGTTGAAAATGACCATTAGCTTATCCAGGCTGTTCACGAGCATTCATTACCTAGTCCAAACTGGACAAAATTGTTATTAGCTAGTTGAAATTGGTCATGAACTAGTCCATAATTGTTAATGATTGTTTGTAACTGGTATAAACTAGGGATGGGAAGATTAATCGATATGTATCGATACGCGGTCATGCGCGTGCACGATGCGAGTGCATCGGTTGAGCAGCAGAGGATGAATGAAATTTTGGAAGCAAATCGAGATGCATCGGTTTTTGCGAGATGCATCGGTTTTTCCGAGATACAGCTTATTTTTTTAATATAGAATGTATTTTTTATTTATTAGCAAGTGTTGTCAACCTGTTTTTGGCGCATAATTTAATCGACCTACATAAAGTAAGCCTTAGCAACGGATTAGCGGATGTGTACACTTACACTACAACTCAGTGTATCAGGTGTGCGGATGAAGCTAGTGGTGCGCCCTCAGAAAGCGCGAGAAGCAAAACAAACATTTTATTCCCCACTGAGTTTTAAATCTAAAGTATGGCAACATTATGGATTTAAGGATGGACGACTTGACAGGACAGATGCAATTTGCAAAATGTGCCGCGCATCTAAAATATGCGGGCAGTATGAGTAATCTGATATCTCACTTGAAGCGGCGCCACGGTGTTGTTGTGAAAGCATCTTCCAGTGTTCCTACATCTCTGGCTTTCGCACTGCTTGAACTGTAGCTACCAGCTCCAAAAGTGGTGAGAAAAGCATTGCAAGTTTTTTTTTCCATGCGCAAAAGTTTTGTGCGCTCTATGCCAATAACGGATGTTATTGCATTGTTCATCTGCAGGGCCGGAGCAAGCTGAACTGCTGCTCTAGGCAGAGGACGATCACGCCGCCCTCAACCCCAATGTGAAAACGAAAGTGACCGGTTATGAAAATGAAGTGACGTGTCGCGGACCTCTGCCGCCTTATGCGCGGATATAACTGAGGACGCGCGGGTGTCGCGGACCTCTATTCTTCCGCCCTATGCGCGGATATAACTGAGGACGCGCGGGTGTAGCGGACCTCTATTCTGCCACCCTATGCGCGGATATAACTGAGGACGCGCGGGTGTAGCGGACCTCTATTCTGCCACCCTATGCGCGGATATAACTGGGTGTTGCGGACGCCGCCCTCTCTATACTGCCGCACTAGGCGGTTTTAAACACCTCCTCCTGTAAATTTTTATTTAATTATAATAATAATAATAATATTAATAATAATAATGATAAAAATAATGGGTGTCACGGTGGCACAGTGGGTATTTTGACCACCTCACAGCAAGAAGATTGCTGGTTTGTTATATTTTTATTAGCCTGTTGTTTACAGTGACAGTGATGTTTCAACGCAGCATAACACTGCTAGTTCACCACCTTAAGTTTTGAATAATCAGTGGCAAAATAAATCTTTGTAAAACTTGTTTTCATAGTTGAAAAGTTAAATCACAATTCTTGTTGTGCAATGGTAAACCTTTATGTTGAAAGAGTGCAAATATATATATTTTAATATATATTGCACTTATACATTCTGTTTATCTTGAAAATACTTAAATAATATGTGCTATATGTTCTAAAATGGCCCTCTTCTGTAAACTGACACTCTGGCTCTGAGAGAAAAGCCAGTTTGTAAAAAAAGTCTTGGTTTTGCTTGTTTAATAAATAATCAAACTCATTCAATGGCACAGCATCCTCTTTCACATCATCTCATAAACTTGATTTAATTAGTTAGTGCTGAATTATCGCATCGTATCGTGATATGGGTGTGAATCGTATCGTGTCGCATCGCAATATGTCATAAATGTATCGCTAATATATCGGATCGTATTCTTTGTATCGAGATGCGTATCGGATCGGCATTATAGCTTAGATGCACAACCCTAGTATAAACCAGTTAAAATGGTCATTAGTTATTCCAAAAAATGTCATTAGTTGGAAATAACTAGTTCAAAAAGGGTAATTTACTTGTACAAAGTAGTCAAAAATAGTCATTAGCTGCTCCAAACTGGCCTGAACATTTGGTAAGTTAGACTTCCAGCTAGTCAGGTGAAAGTCTAACCAGCTATTCGTCTGTATACGTCAATGGAAAACCAATTTGTTTCACTCTCAGATAATGCATAAATCTCAGTTTTCAAACATTGGCGCTTTTGACTGGTTTTGTGATTTAATGTCAGTTATCTTAACCATTCTCCATCCCCTTCTCCAGCCGCTCAGAAGGTGTGCCATCTGATGGGCATGAATGTGACCGATTTCACCCGTGCCATCCTCTCGCCCCGGATAAAAGTGGGCCGGGACTACGTGCAGAAGGCGCAGACACAGGAGCAGGCCGAGTTTGCAGTGGAGGCTCTGGCCAAAGCCACATACGAGAGGATGTTTCGCTGGCTGGTGATGCGCATCAACAAAGCTCTGGATAAGACCAAGCGTCAGGGCGCTTCCTTCATCGGCATTCTGGACATCGCCGGCTTTGAGATCTTTGAGGTACAGCATGATCCATAAACCTACCTGTGGTGGACAGTAGATTGTATTTTTATTTCACTACTGTACTTAAGTACAACGGCAACTTGCATAGACATTACCCACAATTCTTTGCAGTAAAGTATTTGTTTGTCTCCACAGCTGAACTCTTTCGAGCAGTTGTGCATCAACTACACCAACGAGAAGCTCCAGCAGCTGTTCAACCACACCATGTTCATCCTGGAGCAGGAGGAGTACCAGCGGGAGGGCATCGAGTGGAGCTTCATCGACTTCGGCCTCGACCTGCAGCCCTGCATCGACCTCATCGAGAAACCCGTGAGTGACTCAAAAAAGAAATCTGATCCATTTTCATGATCTTCTCTGATTATATTTAGCCCACGGTAACAGAGTTGATGGATAGTGGAAAAGTTGACTGAGGGCTACCGGTAACAGAGTTGAAAGAAGGTAGAAGAGTTGACGGTTACTGGTAACAGAGTTGAAGGAAAGTAACACAGTGGATTGTTGGTAACAGTTGAAGTAAGGTAACAGAGTTGACGGAATGTAACAGAGTGGACGGAAGGTAACAGAGTGGACGGAAGGTAACAGAGTTAAGGGAAGGTAAGGCTACAGAGTTGACGGAAGGTAACAGAGTGGACGGAAGGTAACAGTTAAAGGAAGGTAAGGCTACAGAGTTGACGGAAGGTAACAGTGGATGGAAGGTAACAGAGTTAAAGGAAGGTAAGGCTACAGAGTTGACGGAAGGTAACAGTGGATGGAAGGTAACAGAGTTAAAGAAAGGTAAGGCTACAGAGTTGACGGAAGGTAACAGTTGACGGAAGGTAACAGAGTTGACGGAAGGTAACAGTTGACGGAAGGTAACAGAGTTGACTGACAGTAACAGTTTTGGCTGTTACCGTAACAAAGTTGACGGAAGGTAACAAGTTGACGGAAGGTAACAAATTGATGGAAGGTAACAGAGTTAACTGATAGTAACAGAGTGGACGGAAGGCAACAGGGTTGGCTGAAGGTAACAGAGATAACTGGAAATAACAGAGTTGACTGAAGTAGCAGTGGGGCGAAAGTATTAAAGCTGAAGGAAGGTAACAGAGTTGACTGATAGTAACAGAGTGGACGGAAGGCAACAGGGTTGGCTGAAGGTAACAGAGTTAACTGGAGGTAACAGAGTTGACTGAAGTAGCAGTGGAGGGAAAGTAACAGTGGTGAAGGAAGGTAAGACTACAGAGTTGACAGAAGGTAACAGAGTGCACATGAGGTAGGGCTAAAGAGTTGACAGAAGGTAACAGAGTTGAAGAAAGGTAAGACTACAGAGTTGACGGAATTGTAACAGAGTTGACAGAAGGTAACAGAGTTGAAGGAAGGTAAGGCTACAGAGTTGACAGAAGGTAAAAGAGTGAACGGAATGTAATAGAGTTGACGGAAGGTAACGGAGTTGACTGATAGTAACAGTGTTGGCAGTTATCGTAACAGTTGACTAAAGGTAACACATTGACGGAAGGTAACGGTGACTGAAGGCAACAGAGTTGACTAAAGGTAACAGAGTGGACGGAAAGCAACAGGGTTTGAAGGAAGGTAACAGAGTGGACTGATAGTAACAGAGTGGGCAGAAGGGAACAGCGTTGAAGGATGCTAATAGAGTTGAAGGAAGGTAACAGAGTTGACTGACAGTAACAGTGTTGGCGGTTACCATAACAAAGTTGACGGGAGGTAAGAGAGTTAAAGGAAGGAAGGTAACAGAGTTGACTGATGGTAACAGAGTTGATGGAAGGTAACAGAGTTGACTGACAGTAACAGAGTTTGCGGTTACCGGTAACAGAGCTGACTGTTACCGTAACAGAATAGAAGGAAGGTAACAGAGTTGACCGACACCGGGAACAGGGTTAACTGATGTTAACAAAGTTGACTAACACCAGTAATAAAGTTGACTAACGGTAACAGAATTTGACGTTTACCCATTACAGAGTTGACATTTCCAGCATTTTGTGACACTAACCTCAAACCAGACTCCACCTGGAATGTCTAAAACTCAATTATATGCATTTTCATCATATTATTGTTTTTTAAAAGGGAATGAGAATATTACAGGTACAGAGTTGACAAAATCTACTATTGTTGTATCCTAAACCTTTTCCACACATGAATGAGTAAGGACACTCATCAGTGCCTTCTTGTTTACAACACTTGGAGCAAATCACATGCTTTGTCTATCAGTGCTTTACCGATTGTTCCGCCTCTAAATAACCGATGTAACAGAGTTGACCTAAATGTAGAGACAGACACAAAATGCATTTTATATTTCCCATATTTTATAAATAATACAGAAAATAGATGTTCCATGTAAATGTTTAATGAGCGTAGTAAAGTAACGACACAAACAAAATGAAAACTGAAGTTGAATGTTAGATTCAGATGAATGGACACATGGGTCTTTAAATTTATAGTTACAGGGCAAAATGTCCCTAAATACACATACAAATATTTCTTTTAAAGATTTGACATTATGTTACTGTTCAAAACCGTTTCTAAAAAATGATAGAAGTTCTATCTAGGACGTACCAGCAATTCTAGAGTTAGCCATGTTTAAGATTGGGAATTAAGATCCTGGAATCCATTATTGTGTTTGTTTTTTGCAGGCGAGTCCTCCAGGTATCCTGGCTCTCCTGGACGAGGAGTGCTGGTTCCCTAAAGCCACAGATAAGAGTTTTGTGGAGAAGGTCCTGCAGGAGCAGGGCACGCATCCCAAATTCCACAAACCCAAGAAACTGAAAGACGAGGCTGACTTCTGCATCATCCACTATGCTGGAAAGGTGAATACTGTGCTCTTCTGGTTAAGATACATTAAAAGGGAATCTGCCTATTCTAACAAGATGTAAAATAAGTCTCTGATATCCCTAGAATTAGGGTGCTTTCACACTTGTGAATCGATTCAGTTGTTCCGAAACAGAGATTACAATTGTTACATTGTTGCTCTTTGCTCTTGGAGCGATTCGCTTTCACACTGCAAAGTTTCTAATCGGACCAAAAGAGCTAAAACAAGTCACGTGTGAGTAAACTCTCCTTACATTGGTCAGAGTGTCAGGGTTTATTTTGCAGCGTTCTGCTCAGCTGTCAGGAGAGGTGGTGGTTTGGTGGTGATTGACAGGGTGCGCGCGCGCGACGTGTCTGAGGATAGACGCGGTGGGGAGGTGTGAGAAGGGTGCGTGACGATGCCTATTTGAAGACCAGGAGGGAGACGCGAGATTACCGGGAGATCATCACTCGTTTGCGGGCCTCCGTAGACTCGCGAAACTTCCTGCCCTACTCATAATTCTCTCTTCATATAGCCGTAAGCCAATTACATATCCATAAAACACTGTGATATAACCGCGCTCGGATCAGATCGCTTTCTCACTGCAATCGAACCGCTCCAGGGTTCGTTTCAATCGAGCCGAGACCACCTCATTCAAGCGATCTCGGAGCGATTACTTTGGCGCGGAACAGAGCGCGATTGCCCTGTTCACATATGCCAAACGAACCGCGCTAACTGGGCAAACGAGACACGTTCCGAAACAAAAGTGTAGGTGTGAAAGCGCCCTTAAAATTATAAGGGTGATGAGAGTGATAATTGCCCTCAAATTATCACACAGATAATGTTTTCTAAATTCAAATTAGCTGTTTTCAAAAGAGGGCGGAGCTACAAATGCCTGTGTGTCAGCATAGTGCCAGTGAACATCAGTGTGTGCTTCAGGCTTCTGTCAGTCTGTGGAGACTCCTGTCGCTGTTTGTTTGTTTGTTCTTCATCTAATTGATGAAATCACAACCTCATAATCCTCTTAGTCTATGCTGACATTCTCTTCAGCAGCTCAAACACTCTTATGGCTAAAGGACAGACGGCTGCTTCTCACTCACTCTTTATGCTAATGAGGGAGAGATGGGCGGGGCTTTCCCCCTCTAATGACACATAGAAAGTGCAAATGTCAATCAAAGTGTTTCTGCAGTTCTGTTTTTGTCAAGTCTGATTATAAGAAATAGAATTAATTATTTTTTACTATTAGAGGCTGGATATATTCACACACTGTGGCTGTGCTCTTTAAAGCTAAATTCATTCAGATGCCTTCAGCATTTCTCATATTATCCCTCTATATCCACCATTGTTTAGTAAATGGTACTAAAATATAAGCAGAAACGGAACAAATGAATCTTGATAATGTCCTGGACTAGTAAAAACAATGTCTAAATGGATATCTGGATTCTAAATGCACTAATAGTTAGACTGCATATGTCATTTGACACTTGTAAACGTGTGTATCTGTGTTTGTCAGGTGGACTATAAGGCAGACGAGTGGCTGATGAAGAACATGGACCCGCTGAATGATAACGTGGCCACTTTACTCAACCAGTCCACGGATAGATTTGTGTCTGAGCTGTGGAAAGACGGTGAGTTTCAGCTTCATGATCAACATTACAGCAGCAGATGTAGATGTGACCGTAGGGCTGGACGATTCACTGAAAGCCTAATTTACAACCTCTAACTCATCGAAAGTCAATCATTTTCAGTTGTTATTATGTACTTTTTTTCATTATAGACATTTGAAACACCCTTTTAAAGCACATGCGAGTTATTATTTTCAACTTTTTTCACATAGCAATTATCGTCAGCGTTTTTTCAAGTGTTGGTTATTTTTGACTTATATTTCGGCTAGTTATTGTCTTAATTTTAGTGTATTTTACGATAAACCAGATTTTTATTTTTCACAAGACATCTTCATTTCGAGCAGTCCGTGCTTTGGTTATATATATATATAAAGTTGGTTTTATATATATATATATATATATATATATATATATATATATATAAAGATGTATTATAATAAAATATACTGGGCAGCACGGTGGTGCAGTGGACAGAACATTCGCCTCACAGCAAGAAGGTCGCTGCTTTAAGACTCGGCTGGGTCAGTTGGCATTTCTATGTGGAGTTTGCATATTCTCCCTGAGGTCCCGTGGGTTTCCTCCAGGTGCTCCAGTTTTCCCCACAGTCCAAACACATGCAGTACAGGTGAATTGGGTAGGTTGAATTGGCTGTAGTGTATGTGTGTAAATGAGTGTATGGATGTTGCCCAGTGATGGGTTGCAGCTGAAAGGGCCTTCGCTGCGTAAAACGTGTGCTGGATAAATCGGCGGTTCATTCCGCTGTAGTGACCCCGGATTAATAAAGGGACTAAGCCGAAAAAAAAATGAATGAAGAAAATGTATAGAAATTCAATCTCGCCTTATATAGCTGAGTATATTTACAGCGCAGACCTGCAACTATGAGGGCCAAGTAAACCAATAAATGAATGAAACACTTTTATTTAGTATTCTCAAACTATTAATCGCATCCAAAATAAAAGGTTGGATGTTCATAATATTTATTAGTGTGTACTGTGCATATTCATTATGTATAAATTTCATTCATTTATTATCTTTTCTCCCTTCTATTAATCTGGAGTTGCCACAGCGGAATGAACTTACCCAACTTATCCAGGATATGTTTAACGCAGCGAATGCCCTTCCAGCTGCAACCCATCTCTGGGAAACTTTGAAACACACTCATTCACACTCATACACTACAGACAATTTAACCTACCCAATTCACCTGTACCGCATGTGTTTGGACTGTTGGGAAACCGGAGCACCCGGAGGAAACCCACGCGAACGCAGGGAGAACATGCAAACTCCACACAGAAACACCAACTGAGCCGAGGCTCGGACCAGCGACCTTCTTGCTGTGAAGCGACAGCACTACCTACTGCACCACTGCGCCGCCTTTAAAAGACCTTGAGCCAGGAATCGAACTTAGGTCGCCGCGATTACTTTGGTGCTATATGTCGGCGCACTTAACCACTAGGCTATTGGTATAAATTATGTATAAATATACAGTATAAATACACAAATACATGTATATATTTGAGAAAATAAATAAATATTATTTATTTAAACTTATTTTGTATTAAACACACATTTTTAATTGAAATAAACATTTTTTCAATTTTGTTTTGAAATTTGTTTATATTTGAGAAAATTTCCAAAAATATATTAAAATACATTTATACTTGGATTAAATATACATTTTGAATATATAATAAACATTTCCTCAGAATATATAAGCAAATTTGAGTTTATTTGCATTTAAAATCTAAATTTAATATGAATATAAGTGTATTTTATTTTTAAACATTTTTGTATTTTATCTGTTTATACAATATATATATATATATATATATATATATAGAGAGAGAGAGAGAGAGAGAGAGAGAGAGAGAGAGAGAGATTACGTGCTTGTATATATGTAAATACAAACTTCTATTTTGTATCATGATTTATTGTTTGACAGCACTGATAATAATTTAAAATAAAATAATAATTTAATACTCATTATTAAGTTGAAACTGTTACTAAGAACAACAGTTTTGAACTCGTCTCTTTTTATTGCACGACCATCATTTACCAGTCTCAGCCAAAACAACGGCTGCATCAGAAACCGCATACTTCCATACTATATAGTACGCTAAAAACAGTATGCGAGTCCAGTAGTATGTCTGAATTCGCAAAATTCGAAAAGCAGTATGCAAGAAGTACCCGGATGACCTACTAGTTTAAACACTACTAGTGGACACTACACTATCCCACGATGCACCATGAGAGAATTCGTGAATTGAAGTGAAGTGATGCAACTGACGCGGGTTAGGTTATGTAATGATGACAAAGTGTAGTGCGTTCGAATTCCATTCATACTGTATAGAGCGGACTTATCTTATGGTCAAGTAGTACATTTAAATTCAAATGCAGTACCTACTGAGTAACAGGCGATTTCGGACACAGCCAATAACTCCCGCTTACGCAGGAAGTGACCTTTTACATAGCATAAAAATCCTCGCCTTTATTTTCATGTACTATACACACACACACATCACCAATTATGTCAAAAGCAACTATTTAACTTAACGAAATCTTCAGTTAATCGATGTTTTAGTCTTACCTGATGTCGTCCAGCCCTGCATGAAGTCCTCTAATGTTTCAACACTCTGGGCGTCTTTTTTTTCTTCTCTTTCTCTGGAAACTGACCGGATTTGTTCTCTTCTGCTCGTGTCGTTGGTGTTCGCTCCTCTTTTATTCTCCATCCCTCCATGCGTCCCTTGTTTTGTGTCCTCCTGGGCCTTTATTCTCTCCGTCCCGTCTGTCCGAATCTCTCTCAGAGCTCCAGACCTGTCAGAGAGCTTATTTCTATCAGCGTTTTCCTTTCCTTCATTTAGAGCCAGGTGACGTCTTCGGTTTTTCTCTCCCCTTTTAGTTTATTTCCCTCCACTCCATCCATCCCATCAGCTGTGTGTGTATGTGTGTGTGAGAGAGTGTGCGTATCTGAGGTGTATTTCTCTGATTTTTCTGCTGTTTCTCCTCTCTGTGTGATATAGTGTGCTTTGGCGCCCCCGCTGTCCATCTGTGGTACTACAGAAATGGGTATAAACTGCATGGGTTTGGTTCTGTTCTCACCAGTGAAACATGACCACAGTATGCAGTTACACACACACACACACTCACACCGGTCCAAAATTCACACAGCGCAAAACTCACCGTAAAGTGTTTATGAAATCTAATTTATTTCTTGGGGAATGTAGTGTTATCTAGTTACTGTTGAATTTAGTGTTTTGTTTTATAGTTATCATACTACATACTTTTTGGTCCATTTAAAATACAAATATTTGACTCAAATTAATCATATTTAACAGTTTTACACTTGTGTATATTTTCCACATTGTATGCAGACTACGCTAAAATGTTTATTATCTATTTATTGATATATATATTTAAAAAAAACATTGTTTATTAGGAAATGCTTAAAAAATCGTTGTATTTTTCCACCTAATTATTATTATTATTTTTAAGCTTTTATTATTATTTTTCCTTATAAATTTAGTGACTAATTTATCTTATGTTTACGATTCATATATATATATATATATATATATATATATATATATATATATATATATATATATATATATATATATATATATCCCTATTAATATTTAACTAATGATGCATGTTAGTTTTTTGTTTTTATTTATTTTTTTAGGATAGACTTGTTAAATTAGTGTCGTCAATGTTTTATAATTTTTCATATGTTTGTTTATACACAGTTAGGTCCATAAATATTTGGACATCGACACAATTCTATCATGTTTGGATGTATACACAGACACAATGGATTTGAAATGAAACGAGATGTGCTTTAACTGCACACTGTCAGCTTTAATTTGAGGGTGTTTACATCCAAATCAGGTGAACGCTGTAGGAATTACTACAGTTTGCATATTTGCCTCCCACTTGTTAAGGGACCAAAAGTGAATAAACAGAATAGTAATCGTAAATCAACCTTTCGCTTTTTTTAATTATTGGTTGCAAATCGTTTGCAGTCAATTACAGCTTAAAGTCTGGAAGGCATGGACATCACCAGACATCCACCACAGGTGTTTTCTGTGGTCTTCCGGGTCTTTTGGTGTTGCTGAGCTTGAGCACGAACTGGTGTGTTCTCTCTTTTTACGAATGTTCCACACCGTTGTTTTGGCCACTCCTGATGTTTTTGATCTCTCTCTGATGGGTTTGTTTTGTTTTTACAGCCTAATGAGGGTGTAGCACCCTTTCCCTATGGCGATGGAAGTGCCCTTAATTGTTATAAATTAGATCGCTCTAATTTGTAATTTCACCCCAAAAAGTAACCCATAACCTGATACCAATTAATATAAATAGTAAACACACCCAATCTGGTACAAAATTACACTTCCAAATTTACCTAAATACAATTAAACCAAGATATACAAATAAAAGAAATAAAGGTTTGTTAAAAATAAAGCTTTTCGTTTTCCTTTTTTTTTCCAAAATCAAATAAACGGCAATATCAGCAGTTCGTTGAGAAAAGACCAAAAATAGTCCATGTAAAATGAATGGAAAAATAGCTAAACCTCATTGCAGGCCTGTTTCGGCATTCGTAGTGGCATTAAAACACCCTAAAAATAAATAAAATTTTACTCTTACCATAGCCCAGGGAACACATCAGAGCTAGTACAGTTCAGGAGGGAATAGCGGGGAGTCGGCAGTGTACTGTCTTGTCCAACACTGCCAGATAAGCCACTGAGGTATCCTAGTTTCTCAGGGCGCTATCTGAAATGTTTAGTTTTGTTGATATATAGGACGATAATAATTCGCAGAGATCTCCGCCTTTGCGGCTAACACTGTGTTTCAAGAGTTTACACTTAGATATTGTTTGACAACTGTTAGCAGGTTTGGCATGCTGTCCCAGGTGGGAACTCTGAGCTCGGAGATAGTTGAGGTCAGGGCTCCCGCCTAGTCAATAGAGGATGTAAGGGCAGTACGAGATCAGGGGGTTCTCGAGAGCTCCCCGTGGTAAAGGAGGAGAAGGGGTGGAAAAACGAAGATAAGGAAGTAGTTCTAGCTAGGCTACTTATGAGTTTGGATTAATCTGATTGGCTAACTAATGATTGTAGATGGGTGACCAGCTGCAGTTAATCATATCACGTGTTCCTTTCGAAATTAGGTTGTGAAACTTCACTTAGTGAACACAGTGTCAAAATTAGTCTGATGATATCCAGTAGAGGAAATTGCTATCCTCACAATCATAGACGTATAAATCTCTCTTCAGTTCTCTTTTCAACTACTATTGAAGCGAATTCTCTCTCTCACACCAACCTTCACCCCGACATCCTCTCACAATGCTCTTCCGCCCCCTTTACTTACCTTCCAAGAGATCTCTTCCTGGCCACCACTTCCGTCACAACACAGCAGGTAGAACTTTTAAATTAAACATTAATAGATATTCAGAAACAAAACATACAATAAACAAAATACAAATATAATTAGAGTATTAACTAAACAAATAAATGAATTGACAACTGGGCTTCACCGGCTTGCTTGACTGACCTTGACAGCTCTTTGAAACTCATCTTGAGAGTTGACTAACAGATTCCAAATGTAAACAGCACACTTGAAATGAACTCTGGACCTTTTATCTGCTCATCGAAATTGGGATGATGAGGAAATAACACACACCTGGTCATGGAACAGCTGAGAAGCCAATTGTCCAATTACTGTTGGCCCCTTAACAAGTGGGAGGCAAATATGCAAACTGTTGTAATTCCTACAGTGTTCACCTGATTTGCATGTAAACACCCTCAAATTAAAGCTGACAGTCTGCAGGTAAAGCACATCGTGTTCGCTTCAAATCCATTGTGTTGGTGTATAGAGCCAAAAACGGTAGAATTGTGTCGATGTCCAAATATTTATGGACCTAACTGTGTATATATATATGTTTGTTTATAAATGTGTACTCAATTCTTAGGTTGTCCTTTTTTTAATTTATTTTTTAAGGTTTATTAAATATATAAGTTTATACTTTCAAGGGTTTAACTTTAGTTTAAATTGACTCAATTAAAAACATTCTGGCCAACTGAGGAAATCAGTGATATTCTCAACCGTGTATGATATTTATTTTGTGCGCATTGAGCCTCATTTATGAAGCACAAGCAGAATGAATCACTCGTTAATGATATGAGATCTGTCATTCAGTTCAGCTTGTGTTTTCATGAGGAAGGTGTTTATTTTGGACCTCACACACACATATTACACACATGATCACACACACGTCCGTCTCACCTGCACTGCATTGAGTTGGATCATCTCCCCGTGTGTGTTTTCTCCTCCACTCTTCACCAGCATCATATGTGTGTGTGTGTGTGTGTCTGTGATTTGTCACTAGTGCTGAATTGTGTTTGCCCCACTGAATTGTGGGAAGCGTTCGCCTCATGACCAGACTGCATGCGCACTGAGATCAAGTGTCTACATCACAGTAACTGTACATGTGTGTTTGTGTGTGTGTGTGCGTCTCAGTGGACCGCATCGTGGGTCTGGATAAAGTTGCTGGGATGTCGGAGCTGCCGGGAGCCTTTAAGACTCGTAAGGGAATGTTCCGGACGGTCGGGCAGCTTTATAAAGAGCAGCTCTCCAAACTCATGGCCACGCTCAGAAACACCAACCCAAACTTTGTCCGCTGCATCATTCCCAACCACGAGAAGAAGGTACAGACATGTCCTCGGCATTACTACAGTTATTATTACAGTAAAAACATACACACCGCTAAAACAAGCTGTGAGATACTAACTTTCACTTTAACACTGTAACCAACTACAATCATTCTGACCGCTTCTCATATAAGACGACGTATTGTCACGTCATATTTACATTCGAAGCTTCTACTGAGATATTAAAATTAAGCTTTGAATGTTTGTCATCATATTTAATAAAGTCATCGCCATAAAAATATGATCTTTTTGGTAATGCAGCCTATAACTGTGAGGTTGGGCTACATTAGACCACACACATGGATGTCTGCGACTCTTTAATTTTTCATTGCGGCACTCTACATATGCTAAATGACACCTCTAAAATTACGTTTTTGCCATTTTGCCAATAGAAAGTTGTGGTATTTCATAATAGGAAGTTACTAGGCAACAGAGGCATGCATAAATAATATTTTAAGTCATGCAAATTTAAAGGAAAAGTTGCAGACACTGAACGACATGTGATTATAATGAAATAACAATGCTAGAAGGTAATATATACACATTTAGTAAAAGCCAGGCAAGTTATAGATATGCCTATTTTATTTCTACAAACTTAATAAAATTGCAAATATTAAAAGTTGTCAAAATAGCGCCTCAGTAGTTGTAGTGCTAAAATTAAAAACTATTTGATATTCTGTAATGATGGATTTTGACTATGTTAGTATTCACAGCAAGGCCAATAATTAACGAAATAGCTATAATGATGATAACATTATGAGCATCCACATCATAAACAATTGGAATCATAACAACCGCACCTAGTTCGCACTCAGAATTAAATGATCCATATCCATGTTCATATCAAATTGACGACAAACTTTTAGAATAAAAAGTAATGTCCATATCAATTGACGACAAACTTATAGAATAAAAATAATGCGTTTATAAATTAACGACAAGCTTTTAGAATTAAATACTGTCCATACCGATTGACGACAAACTTTTAGAATAAAAATAATAACCTTTTAAATTGATGACAAACTTAGAATAAAAATAATGCCCATATCAATTGACGACAAACTTTTAGAAAAATAATGTCCTTATAAAGACGACAAACTTTTACTATAAAATACTGTCCATATCGATTGACGAAAAACTTTTAGAATAAAAATAATGTCCTGATGAATTGACGACAAACTTAGAATAAAATAATGACTATATCGACTGACGATAAACTTTTAGAATAAAATAATCTCCATATCGAACTGACGACAAACTTTTAGATTAAAAATAATGTCCTTATAAATTGACTACAAACTTTTTAAATAAAAATAATGTCCATATCAATTGACGACAAACTTTTAGAATTAAAATAGTGTCCACATCAATTGTCGACAAACTTTTAGTATAATAATAATGTCTATATCAATTGACGACAAACTTTTTAAATAAAAATAATGTCCACATCAATAAACGACAAACTTTTACAATAAAAATAATGTCCATATTAATTGATGTCCATAACAACAGATGACAAACCTTAGACTAACAACTAGTGTCCTTGACAACAGACAATACATTTTTTACCAAAATTTTGTATTGAAAACAGCAAACAACGGACTTGAGAATAAAAAAATAATGTGACTAACATCCGACAGTGACACTGGAGCATTTTAAAGCAGCGATTCCTCAGTGGATCACTCGTATGTCAGCTTAATGACAGACCAGCTGTTCGACGAAACTTTGAAAAGCTCCATTGTCTATATCTGTGGTTACACTCAGTAAACAGTGGGGAGTTTGGTGAACTGTTGACCTTTACGGCCAATCACAGTCATTTCTGTTGAGTATGTGACCTCAAAAGTGCGCAAATGTTTGCTGGAAATGGACGTTTTTAAAATTTTACTATCGATTGGTACCGAATTCCAGTATGGTGACAACCCTAGTGTCTATACAAACATCATTTGTTGTACTCTCCTGTTCACTGAATGATGACGAAATTAACATCATGCACAAAAACATCTGCAGTTAAAACTGTGCATGCAGTAACTGAGCAATGTAAATGTCTGTGTGTGTGTCAGGCGGGTAAGTTGGATCCTCACCTGGTCCTGGATCAGCTGCGGTGTAACGGTGTGCTGGAGGGCATCCGCATCTGCCGACAGGGATTCCCCAACCGCATCGTCTTCCAGGAGTTCAGACAGAGGTAACCCTCACTTTTAATGAGAGATACCTTTAAATCTAACATTATATATTCTCTCAGTGGCTCTGTTTGAACTCGAAGTTATACGTTTAAAGTCAGAATTATGATAAATATGTTATTAGCTCTTATTTACATATTTCCCACATGATGTTGAACAGATTCAGGAAATTATCACAGTATTTCCTCTAATATTTTTGTCTTCTGGAGAAAGTCTTGTTTGTTCTATTTCGGCTAGAATAAAAGCAGTTAAAAATATTTTTAAACCCATTTTTAAGTCAATATTATTAGCCACATTAAGCAATATTTATAATTATATATAACAATGACTTGCCTAATTACCTTAATTAACCCTAATTAACCTAGTTAAGCCTTTAAATATCACTTTAAGCTGAATACTAGTGTCTTGAAGAATATCGAGTCAAATATTATGTGCTGTCATCGTGGCAAATATACAGGAGTGCTAATAATTCTGACTTCAACTGGATATGGACGTTGTAATGTTTAATGGTGGTTTGTGTTTTTTACTCAGGTATGAGATCCTCACGCCAAACTCCATTCCCAAAGGATTCATGGATGGCAAACAGGCCTGTATGCTGATGGTGAGAGCAGTTTTATGTTTAAACAATATAAATAAAATCATTAGATGTCATTTGGATATGCCCTGGTGGATCATGAGGGAATTGAGTTGATCAAATCAGAAAAAAATAGGCTGAATCGATCTGCACATTGTCACCTTACAATTATAAGGTACTATCTGACATTTTTGTCAAAATTGAGTTATTCACATATTCTTTTTAAATGGCAACTTATTTACATGATGGGATGTGTTTTTATACATTGTTTACATTTTAAGGCTTTTTATTTAAAGGGCCATGAAACCCCCTCGTTTCAGCAGGGTGTTTTCACACCTCTACTTTGGAAAAAGTCAGAAAAGTGGGCGTGTCCAGCTCTGTTTAGGGGGGAGTGTCGGAGGAACTAAAGTGGGAGGGTGTGGGAGTGTCTATTTGTGCACGCGAGTTTCAGAGTCAAAATACACAGACAGGAGAAAGTGATGGTGTTTAACCTACATGGACATCTGTAGTCGAATTATTTGCCAAATTATTAAATGTTGGACTTTAACAGCAGTTTGGCTCTTTCATTCAGGGAATTCATTCATGTCCTTATTTGATTCGAGGAGCTGCTCTAAGCGTGTATATTTCATGCAATGTTTAATACCGCACGGCGAATGAGAGAAAAAAAACCTCAGCATTTCCCGATAACTTAGATGCACACGGCAGGTAGCGTCAGAAAGCCGCGTGTGTTATTCCGGTCACAAAATGCGGTGCTAACATGTTTGCACTCAGTGCAATATTAACTTAATTCGATGTGAACAAACTAAATAAACAAAGAGCACTGGTCGCTCACTTACCAAATCTGTAGAGACAGAACAATCACCAGCAACTAGAGCCGCGTCTTTATTAAGAGGAGACTACAAGTGAATCCGGATTTCAGCGTTTGCAGATGAGAACAGCTCTCAGGTAAACAATAATCCTCCTTAGACACGTAAGTTATTGTTGTCGAGCGTCGCGTACACTGTAAATCCACACGTGACTCCAGCTGAGCTCTCACAGAAAGAAAAAGAAAACAAAACTTAACGGCAGCAAACTATAAAAGCAACACTTCACGCTTGTTTTGCCAACACAACGTGGCGTCTCTGTCGTGTAAACACGGTGACAGTAATGAATATTAATGAAGTTGCACAATAGAGCGCGCTGATTGGTTTGAACCAAGCCTTACTCATGCATTAATGCAGCACACTGTAAGACGTAATAAGACTCACTCTGGCACAGACGCCCAGTCTGCACGCTGGAATACACGATATTATGTCATGACCGTTACGCAGCTTCAAAAATTCGTTTCAAACCGGAAGTACGAATTTGCTTGAAATAACGCAAAAACAACCAATTTACACTTTTTAGTGAAATATAGGTGTCCTAATAGTGTTTTTAGCAGGGTGGGACACATATACGACTGTCAACAGCTCAAAACATGTGTTTTGGTGTTTCGTGACCCTTTAAAAAAACAAAAAAGGTGTATCTACAAAGTTGAACTCTAGCTTGGCTCTATAAGGTTCTATCTGTAAGCCAATCACATGCACAATGCACGAGGACCAATTAGGATTAGCTTTCTTTGTCATTTCGCCGGACTGCTCCATTGACCGCAGGAAACACCAGAAAGACAAAATCACAAAATCAGAGTCAACTAAATAACGCCACACCACACAAAGTTGAAATGTGTGTAAATGTGATGATTTAAAAGCATTTCTTGACACTGAGATTCATTCATTCATTTTCTTTTTGACTTAGTCCCTTTATTAATCTTGGTATGAACTGCACATCAAACAACATGCCCGACTGGACATTTCTATTTCTAGTATACTTGCTCCTTCTGTCTGCAATAGCACTACTGTGTTGTAACGGCAACACTAATAAAAGTTATGTTACTCGAAAATAATAAATAATTACGTTTTTGAGCCAAGTGCATTCAGAATGTTTGGTTTGGGGCTGATTTTCCCTTTGGTGCTTCTCTAATAAAAATATAAAATGACTATTATTATCATCACTAGTGCTTCTTCAGTGTTGCTAATATACCTAAATGTCGTTACTACTTTGTTAAATTAGTTTGTTTTAAATTCATCTATTTTTTTCTGTTGAGTAATTTAGTCATTTTATTGTTGTATTGGTGTCGTTTCTAATGTGTGTCTGTGTTTGTTGCGTGTCAGATCCGAGCTCTGGAGCTGGACCCTAACCTGTACCGCATCGGTCAGAGTAAAGTGTTTTTCCGCGCCGGAGTTCTGGCCCACCTGGAGGAGGAGCGGGACATGAAGATCACCGACGTCATCATCAACTTCCAGGCCTGGTGCCGGGGATACGTCGCCCGCAAGTGAGTTTTGCTGGAGTTCACTGGTAGACAGTGAATTCAATTGAACTGAATTGTTTCGACGGCTTTTAAAAAAAGCCCTTAATTGCTTTTCCATTATTTAAGGCTTTAAAGGTTCTTTGAATTGCGCATTTTTATTTAGCGTTTGAGTTCGTTTAAACTAAAACATAAAGAGAGGGCGGGGCGTAGAGTAGCTCTTCCCCTTTTTAAAACAGCCTATAGCATTTAGTTTCTTTTGGTCTTTTCGACTAAAACATGGAGAGGGCGGGGCATAAAATTACTCCTCCCATTTTTTAAACAGCCTATAGCATGTGTTTCTTTAAGTCATTTCAACTGAAAGATTAAGAGAGGGTGGGGCATAGGGTAGCTCCTCCCCTTTTTTTAAACAGCCTATAGCATTTTGTTTTTTTAGGCTTTTTCAACTGAAACATAAAGATAGTTTGATGCCACATGTGACAGTCACGTGGCGTTGACACAGCATCTATCCGAACAAGATTTCTAACCAGAATGCACCGCTTTAAGACAGATTTCGATCGATCTGCGCAGCACTGCATGAAGTCGAACGCACCTATTTTGTCTCTTTAGGCTTTTTCAACTAAAACATGAAGAGAGGGTGGGGCATAGAGTAGCTCCTCCCCTTTTTTAAACAGCCTATAGCATTTTGTTTCTTTAGGCTTTTTCAACTGAAACATGGAGAGGGTGGGGCATAGAGTAGCTCCTCCCCCTTTTTTAAACAGCCTATAGCATTTTGTTTCTTTAGGCTTTTTCAACTGAAACATGGAGAGGGTGGGGCATAGAGTAGCTCCTCCCCTTTTTTAAACAGCCTATAGCATTTTGTTTCTTTAGGCTTTTTCAACTGAAACATGAAGAGAGGGCGGGGCATAGAGTAGCTCCTCCCCTTCAAAAAACAGCCTATAGCATTTAGTTTTTTTAGGTACAGTAATTTCCCCTTAAACATGGAGAGGGTGTGGCATAGAGTGGCTCCTCCCCTTTAAAAAACTGCCTGTAGCATTTAGTTTTTTTTAGATAATTTCACCTAAAACATTGAGAGGGCAGGGCATAAAGTAGCTCCTCCTATTTTTAAAAAACAGCCTATAGCATTTTGTTTTTTTTAGATAATTTCACCTAAAACATTGAGAGGGCGGGGCATAAAGTAGCTCCTCCTATTTTTAAAAAACAGCCTATAGCATTTTGTTTTTTGAGCATTTCAACTGAAACATGAAGAGAGGGCGGGGCATAAAGTAGCTCCTCCCCTTTAAAAAACAGCCTATAGCATTTTGTTTTTATCACCGCTCTGCAAGTGAGAGGGGTTGAGCTTAGGCACATCAAATGAACAGCCAATGAGAGGAAGGGGGCGGGGCATGTCAGACACTAGAGAGCATTTGATTGGTCGAAAGATTTGATGAGAAACTGAAGTATGCATCTCATGTGTGTGTGTGTGTGTGTGTGTCCTGCAGAGCATTCGCTAAGAGACAGCAGCAGCTGACAGCCATGCGTGTGATTCAGAGGAACTGTGCTGCTTACCTGAAGCTCAGGAACTGGCAGTGGTGGAGACTCTTCACTAAGGTTTGCACACTCACACACTGTCAGATGACTGTGCTGTGTGTGTGTGTTCGGTACTGATGCCGCCTGTGTGTGTGTTTCAGGTGAAGCCGCTGCTGCAGGTCAGCCGACAGGAAGAGGAAATGCAGGCCAAAGAGGAGGAGCTGAGTAAAGTGCGGGAGAAGCAGCAGGTGGCGGAGCAGCAGCTGGTGGAGATGGAGGTCAAGCAGCAGCAGGTGAGAGAGTCTGACCAGTACTGTACTCCTATTCCTCCTGTGTGATGTGACCGTATGAGTGTGTGAATGTTGTTGATTTCAGCTGAACGCAGAGAAGATGGCTCTGCAGGAGCAGCTGCAGGCCGAGATGGATCTGTGTGCAGAGGCTGATGAGATGAGGAACCGGCTGGTGGCCAAGAAGCAGGAGCTGGAGGAGATCCTGCACGACCTGGAGGCCCGAGTGGAGGAAGAGGAGGAGAGGGCAAACCACCTGCAGGCTGAGAAGAAGAAGATGCAGCAGAACATCGCGGTAATCACGTCCTCTGATTGGCTAGGGGGATCACTTATGCGCTGTGATTGGCTGAATGGTTGAGTGATGCGCTGGGATTGGCTGAGTGATTCACTTTAACTGAGTGATGAGCTGTGATTGGGTGAGTAGGAAATGACTGTGTTTTTTGTCCAATAGGATCTTGAGCAGCAGCTGGACGAGGAGGAAGCGGCTCGACAGAAGCTGCAGCTGGAGAAAGTCACGATGGAGGCCAAACTGAAGAAGACGGAGGAGGAGGTGATGGTGCTGGACGACCAGAACAACAAACTCTCCAAGGTCTGTGCACTGACACGCATAAAATTGTGCTAATGGAAATATGCTCAAAACATCTAATGGAAACGTGTCCACTTAGCAAAAATACACTTATATATAACGAAATATTTCAATTAAAAACAGATTGCTGCATGTAACAAATTACACTGACATGAGGTGTTTTTGGTTTTGTTAGTGAATTTAAAAAATAAAGTAATGTTTAGTCGAACTTCAACAAAGGAAACATCGTCATTTTGCAATATTTGTTATCGATTTAAAAGAAAATTTATTTGGTTTTGCAACAAATGCTTTTAATCCTTATTCTAGTAAATTATTTAAGTTATTAACATGCTGCTGTGATTCTGTAGTTGCTATGGTAACACAACAACCAAAGGTATTAATCTGTTGTGGTGATTCTATAGTTGCTATGGTAACACTAAAACCAAAGTAATTAACCTATTGTGGTGTTTCTTTTGTTGCTATGGTAACACAACCAAAGTAATTAATCTGTTTTGAGGATTCTATAATTGCCATGGTAACACAATAACCAAAGTAATTAACCTGTTGTGGTGATTCTGTAGTTGCCATGGTAACACAACAAAGTAATTCCTCTGTTTTGGTAATTCTGTAGTTGCCATGGTAACACAACAAAGTAATTCATCTGTTTTGGGGATTCTGTAGTTGCCATGGTAACACAACCAAAGCAATTAATCTGCTGTGGTGATTCTGTAGTTGCCATGGTAACACAACAACCAAATTTATTAATCTGTTGTGGACTCTATAGTTGCTATGGTAACACAACAACCAAAGTAATTAACCTGTTTTGGTGATTCTATAGTTGCTATGGTAACACTAAAACCAAAGTAATTAACCTATTGTGGTGATTCTGTTGTTGCTATGGTAACACAACCAAAGTAATTAATCTGTTTTGAGGATTCTATAATTGCCATGGTAACACAATAACCAAAGTAATTAACCTTTTGTGGTGATTCTGTAGTTGCCATGGTAACACAACAACCAAAGTAATTAACTTGTTGTGGTGATTCTGTTGTTGCTATGGTAACACAACCAAAGTAATTAACCTGTTGTGGTGATTCTGTAGTTGCCATGGTAACACAACAACAAAAGTAATTAACCTGTTGTGGACATTCTGTAGTTGCTATGGTAACACAACAACCAAAGTACATAATCTGTTGTGATTCTACAGTTGCCATGGTAACTCAACAGCCAAAGTAATTAAAATGTTGTGGTGATTTTATAGTTGCCATGGTAACACAAGAACTACAGTAATATAAACATGCTTTTCTATTTCTACAATTGTGGAGCACACACCACAGTTTACTGTAGTAAAACTAAAGTATCCTACAGTATTTATCACAGTTTTTTGTTTACTGTAGCTAATACTACAGTATCCTGGAGCATTCATTAACGAATTGGTTTAAATACTAGGATAAATACAGTATAACTACGGTATGATTCGAAAATACACAGTTAATAAGTTCCTTTTAATAACTATAAGCTTTTCTGATGTGGGTTTGTGTGGACGCTGACTGTGTGCTTGTCTTGCAGGAGAAGAAGCTCATGGAGGAGCGGATCGCAGAGTTCACCACAAACCTGGCGGAGGAGGAGGAGAAGTCCAAGAGTCTGCAGAAACTGAAGAACAAACACGAGGCCATGATCACCGACCTGGAGGGTGAGAGCTCCACTTTCACTTTCAACATTACATTCATTAGCAGATGCTTACACATTTTAAGGTTTTCAGTTCATTGCAAGTCTCTCTACATAGAGTATTTCCTTAAATTCATATCCACTGGGCTCTATTAGACGATTTTCTGCTTATATTAAGATGTGATGTTTGAATATTGATAGTTTTCTGCAATATGTAATTAATGTGTAAGGTGACTGTATTTTAAATGTGTCGTATCCTCCTCCAGACCGTCTGCGGCGCGAGGAGAAGCAGCGCCAGGAGCTGGAGAAGAACCGCAGAAAGCTGGAGGGAGACTCGACAGAGCTGCACGACCAGATCGCAGAGCTCCAGGCGCAGATCGCAGAACTCAAAGCGCAGCTCGCCAAGAAGGAGGAGGAGCTGCAGGAGGCACTCGCCAGGTCACAACACACAATCTACCACACATACGCACCACACGCTAGATTACTTATGAAGTGTAATTATTCTTAGCGATTATGAATATATTGCTATTCTCTTTGGAATTGATTTTTGAGCATAGTTTTTAACAGTAGATGTCGATTTTTAACAGTAGATGGCGCTCTGTACTAGTTTTTTGACAGTAGATGTCATTTGTTTTAACAGTAGACGGCGCTCTAGGCTAGTTTTTAACAGTAGTTGGCTCTTCAGGCTAGTTTTTAACAGTACATGATGCTCTAGGCTAGTTTTTATAGCAGATGGCACTCTAGGCTAGTTTTAATAGCAGATGGTGCTCTAGGCTGGTATGAATAGCAGAGGAAGCTCTAGGCTAGTTTTAGTAGCAGACGATGATCTAGGCTAGTTTTACCACAGACGGCGCTCTAGGCTAGTTTTAATAGCAGATGGCGCTCTAGGCTAGTTTTAACAGCAGATGGCGCTCTAGGCTAGTTTTAACAGCAGATGGTTTTCTAGGCTAGTTTTTATAGCAGATGGTGCTCTAGGCTAGTTTCTATAGCAGATGGCGCTCTAGGCTATTTTTCATAGCAGATGGCGCTCTAGGCTAGTTTTAATAACAGATGGCGCTCTAGGCTAGTTTAATAGCAAATTAAGCTCTAGGCTAGTTTTAGTAGCAGACAGCGTTCTAGGTTAGTTTTAAAAGCAGACAGCACTCTAGGCTATTTTTAATAGCAGATAGCGCTTTAGGCTAGTGTTTAACAGTAGACTGTGCTCTAGGCTAGTTTTTATAACAGATGGCGCTCTAAGCTAGTTTGTAAAGCAGATGGTGCGCTAAGCTAGTTTTAAAAGCAGACGGCACTCTAGGCTAGTTTTAATAGCAGATGGCGCTCTAGGCTAGTGTTTAACAGTAGGCTGTGCTCTAGGCTAGTTTTTATAGCAGATGGCGCTCTAGGCTAGTTTTTATAGCAGATGGCGCTCTAGGCTAGTTTTTATAGCAGATGGCGCTCTGGGCTAGTTTTTATAGCAGATGGAGCGCTAGACTAGTTTTAATATTAGATGGTGCTCTTGGCTAGTTTTAATTGCAGATGGCGCTCTAGGCTAGTTTTTATAGCAGATGGCGCTCTAGGCTAGTTTTTATAGCAGATGGCGCTCTAGGCTAGTTTTTATCGCAGATGGCGCTCTAGGCTAGTTTTTATCGCAGAGGGCGCTCTAGGCTAGTTTTTATAGCAGATGGTGCTCTAGGCCAGTTTTTATAGCAGATGGCGCTCTAGGCCAGTTTTTATAGCAGACGGTGCTCTAGGCTAGTTTAATAGCAGATGGCGCTATAGGCTAGTTTTTATCGCAGATGGTGCTCTATTCTAGTTTTTGTAGCAGTTGCCGCTCTAGGCTAGTTTTTGTAGCAGATGGCGTTCTAGGCTAGTTTTTATAGAAGATGGTGCTCTAGGCTAGTTTTTACAGCAGATGGTGCTCTAGGCTAGTTTTTATCGCAGATGGCTCTCTTGGCTAGTTTTCATCGCAGATGGTGCTCTAAGCCAGTTTTTATAGCAGATGCCGCTCTATTCTGGTTTTTGTAGCAGTTGGTGCTCTAGGCTAGTTTTTGTAGCAGACGGCGCTCTAGGCTAGTTTAATAACAGATGGCGCTCTAGGCTAGTTTTAATCGCAGATGGTGCTCTAGGCTAGTTTTTATAGCAGATGGCGCTCTAGGCTAGTTTTTATAGCAGATGGAGCTCTAGTCTAGTTTTTATAGCAGATGGCGCTCTAGGCTAGTTTTTATAGCAGATGGAGCTCTAGTCTAGTTTTTAAACCGCAGTTTGTGTTGCAGGATTGAGGAGGAGGCGGCGCAGAAGAATCTGGCCCAGAAGAAGATCCGCGAGCTGGAGTCTCAGCTCAGTGAACTGCAGGAGGATCTGGAGCTGGAGAGAGCGGCTCGAACCAAAGCCGAGAAACACCGCAGAGACCTGGGGGAGGAGCTGGAGGCGCTGAAGACTGAGCTGGAGGACACACTCGACTCTACAGCCGCACAGCAGGAGCTCAGGTATACACACACACACTCAACTCCACAGGTCTCTACGTGTAACTAAATACAGCTACTATAATAATAATAATATTTTACAGAGTTAAAGTTTGTTGTTGTCTGGATGTGTGTATTGCTGCAGGACGAAGCGTGAGACTGAAGTGGCGCAGCTGAAGAAGGCTCTGGAGGAAGATGCTAAAGTTCACGAGCAGGTGATGGCGGAGATCAGACAGAAGCACAGCCAGGCCTTCGATGAGCTCAACGAGCAGCTGGAGCAGGTCAAACGGGTAAGAGACACACACACACACAAATAGACAATCACACACACAAATAATCACACATATAAACAGACAAACACACATATAAGCACACAAATAAACACACAAATAAACACAGAATCACACACTAAAAAACACAAATAAACACACACAAACACACAATCACACACAAATATATAAACACACACTAATAAACACGATCACACACAAATAAGCAAACATACACACACAAATATATAAACACACACTAATAAACACAATCACACACAAATAGACAATCACACACAACTAAACGCACAAATAGATACACAAACACGCACAAATAGACATTTAAACACAACTAAAACTTAAATAAACATGCACACAAAGACAATCACACACAATTAAACACACAAATAGATACACAAACACACACAAATAGACAATCACACACAACTAAACACACAAATAAACACGCACACACACAAATAGACAATCATACACAACAAAACGCACACATAAACACGCACCCACACACAAATAGACAGTCACACACATCTAAATAAACACGCGCACACACACACACAAATATACAAACACACACAAATAGACAATCACACACAACTAAACACGCACACACACAAATAGACAATCATACACAACAAAACGCACACATAAACACGCACCCACACACAAATAGACAGTCACACACATCTAAATAAAAACGCGCACACACACACACAAATATACAAACACACACTAATAGACACACAATCACACACAAATAAACACACATACAGACCCAAATATACAAACACACACTAATAAACACACAATCACACACAACTAAACAAACTCAAATAAACACACACATAAATAGACAATCACACACAAACACACACAAATAGACAATTATACACAAGCAAACACACAAATAAACACGCACACACACTAATAGACAATCACACACAACTAAACACACAAATAGACACACAAACACACACAAATAGACAATCACACACAACTAAACACACAATTAGATACACAAACACACACAACTAAACACAAACACACAAATAAACACATAAACACACACCCCATCATGATGATCACAATGCGTGGTGTGTTTCCCCTCAGAATAAGGTGTCGGTGGAGAAGAGTAAGCAGGCTCTGGAGTCTGAGAGGAACGAGCTGCAGATCGAGCTGCAGACGCTGATGCAGGGGAAAGGAGAGTCTGAGCACCGCAGGAAGAAGGCGGAGGCGCAGCTGCAGGAGCTGCAGGTCAAACACACCGAGAGCGAACGCCAGCGCATCGAGCTCGCCGAGAGACTCACCAAGATGCAGGTGCACACAATCACACTTCACCACACTGATGCCATAGCAACCACTTTACAGCATCCTTTAATCCTCTACAACACCATAGCAACAGCCTAGCAACACCCTAACAACTACAGTGGAGTGTGCTTGAAAATACGGATACACCTGGGCAACACTCATTGTAATGCTCTAGCAACTGTCTAGGATTGACCTCCTAGTCACTTTGTAAACCTTAGCAGCTGCCTAGCAACCACATAGTAAAACCACAGCAACTCCCTGATAGCGGCCTAGTAACCACATTGCAACTGCCTAGCAACACCCTAGCAGCTACAATGCTTTGCTACTGCTAACGTCTGTGTGTTGTGTTCAGGCTGAGCTGGATAACGTCAACACTCTGCTGAGCGACGCTGAAGGAAAGTCCATCAAAGCGTCCAAGGACTGCTCCACCGTGGAGTCGCAGCTGCAGGACGTGCAGGTACAGCGGAGACATCATGGGGCATCTGCAGGTTTGTATGTGTGTGTTACTGACCCTGAGTGTGTGTGTGTGTGTGTGTCCACAGGAAGTGCTGCAGGAGGAGACCCGTCAGAAGCTGGCTCTGAACACTCGCCTGCGTCAGCTGGAGGACGAGCAGCACAGCCTGAGGGAGCAGCTGGAGGAGGAGGAGGAGGCCAAGAGGAACCTGGAGAAGCAAATCGGCACTATGCAGGCGCAGGTACACACAGCCTCAAAACACTATTCAATTCTGAGTGCACCTCACTCTATATGGAGAATAAAGCCCGCCCTCTAGTACAGGAGCCAATCATCAATCACTATATGGCGAATAAAGCCCGCCCTCTAGTACAGAAGCCAATCATCGATCACTATATGCCGAATAAAGCCCGCCTACTAGTATAGGAGCCAATCATTGATCACTATATGCCGAATAAAGCCCGCCTTCTAGTACAGGAGCCAATCATCGATCACTATATGGCGAATAAAGCCCGCCCTCTAGTACAGAAGCCAATCATCCATCACTATATAGAGAATAAAGCCCGCCTTCTAGTACAGGAGCCAATCATTGATCTCTACATGGAGAATAAAGCCCGCCTTCTAGTACAGGAGCCAATCATCGATCTCTACATGGAGAATAAAGCCCGCCTTCTAGAACAGGAGCCAATCATCGATCTCTACATAGAGAATAAAGCCCGCCTTCTAGTACAGGAGCCAATCATCCATCACTATATGGCGAATAAAGCCCGCCTTCTAGTACAGGAGCCAATCATCGATCTCTATATGGCGAATAAAGCCCGCCTTCTAGTACAGGAGCCAATCATCGATCTCTATATGGCGAATAAAGCCCGCCTTCTAGTACAGGAGCCAATCATCAATCACTATATGGCGAATAAAGCCCGCCTTCTAGTACAGAAGCCAATCATCAATCACTATATGGAGAATAAAGCCCGCCTACTAGTATAGGAGCCAATCATTGATCACTATATGGAGAATAAAGCCCGCCCTCTAGTACAGAAGCCAATCATCGATCACTATATGCCGAATAAAGCCCACCTACTAGTATAGGAGCCAATCATTGATCACTATATGCTGAATAAAGCCCGCCTACTAGTACAGAAGCCAATCATTGATCACTATATGCTGAATAAAGCCCGCCTACTAGTACAGAAGCCAATCATTGATCACTATATGCTGAATAAAGCCCGCCTACTAGTACAGGAGCCAATCATCGATCACTATATGCCGAATAAAGCCCGCCTACTAGTATAGGAGCCAATCATTGATCACTATATGCCGAATAAAGCCCGCCCTCTAGTACAGGAGCCAATCATCAATCACTATATGGTGAATAAAGCCCGCCTTCTAGTACAGAAGCCAATCATTGATCACTATATGCTGAATAAAGCCCGCCTACTAGTACAGGAGCCAATCATCGATCACTATATGCAGAATGAAGCCCGCCTACTAGTACAGGAGCCAATCATCGATCACTATATGCCGAATAAAGCCCGCCTACTAGTACAGGAGCCAATCATCGATCACTATATGCCGAATAAAGCCCGCCTTCTAGTACAGGAGCCAATCATCGATCTCTATATGCCGAATAAAGCCCGCCTACTAGTACAGAAGCCAATCATTGATCACTATATGCTGAATAAAGCCCGCCTACTAGTACAGGAGCCAATCATCGATCACTATATGCCGAATAAAGCCCGCCTACTAGTACAGGAGCCAATCATCGATCACTATATGCTGAATAAAGCCCGCCTACTAGTACAGGAGCCAATCATCGATCACTATATGCAGAATGAAGCCCGCCTACTAGTACAGGAGCCAATCATCGATCACTATATGCCGAATAAAGCCCGCCTACTAGTACAGGAGCCAATCATCGATCACTATATGCAGAATAAAGCCCGCCTACTAGTACAGAAGCCAATCATCCATCACTATATGGAGAATAAAGCCCGCCTTCTAGTACAGAAGCCAATCATCAATCACTATATGGTGAATAAAGCCCTATAGGGTCTTGTCTATATCTGCTTGTGTGTATATTAGACTGACCCAATAATGGTTATCTACACATTGTTTATTTTGTTCTAGCTGGTGGACATGAAGAAGAAGATGGAGCAGGAGTCTGGCTCTCTGGAGTGTGCGGAGGAGAGCAGGAAGCGAGTGCAGCGGGATCTGGAGGCCGTGTCTCAGCGTCTGGACGAGAGAAACGCCGCCTTCGACAAGCTGGACAAAACCAAGACCCGCCTGCAGCAGGAGCTGGACGACATGCTGGTGGACCAGGACCATCTGCGGCAGATCGTCTCCAACCTGGAGAAGAAGCAGAAGAAGTTTGACCAGGTCAGAACCAGCACTCGCTAAACACCTGGTTCATATTACGATCTCACTTCAGGTTTATTATATTAAAGATATTCAGAAAGTACAAACAGCGGAGACTAACACACAAACCCCACCAGCTGACCAGTCAATAAAGTGTACTAATGCAGCGGTGTCCAAACTCAGTCCTAGAGGGCCGGTGTCCTGCTGAGTTTAGCTCCAACTAGCTCCAACACACCTGCCAGGAAGTTTCTAGTATATCTAGTGAGCTTGATTAGCTGATTCAGGTGTGTTTGATTAGGGTTAGAGCTAAACTCTCCAGGACACCGGCCCTTCAGGACTGAGTTTGGACACCCATGTACTAAAGTATCTGTTAACAAAAAAAAGAACTCTCTTCAGATACACATTTCAGTTCAGTTTTAGTGGTCTGGGAAGCTCAGCGTCTTGAGGAAGACACAAAACCAGACTTATGATGCACAGGTATAGCTTTGAAAATAGCCAAAAACACATTTTATTCATCAAAATGATTTTTTTAATGCCAAAATTCATGTTTGTAAATTATATTTTTGTAAATTTCTACTGTAAATATCTCAAAACTCAATTTTAGATAAGTAATGTCCACTTTAAAGCTGAATTTCTCAATATCTATTTTTTATTTTGCACCCTCAGATTCATGATTATGTAATTATATTTCAGGCAAATATTGTCCAGTCATAACAAGCAAAATACACAACTGGAAAGATTTTTTTATGTAACTTTTAACTGATGCCTAAATAAAGACACCTGTGACTGGATTTGTGGTCAAGGGTCACATTTAAGAAAAACAGCACAACAAATATTAATATACAGTTTCTGTGCTTTTTTTTAAATATTGAAATTTTTTTAGTCCTTTTATGTTTAGTTATTACATTTTCATGAATATATAAATTGTTCTTGTGCGAGCTGTTTACAATAATTAAATAGATTTATTTTATTTATATATGTTTGTTTTACACGTTTTCAAAAATGTTTCAAAAAGTGTTTTAACATGTAGTACGAGTATTTTTCAAACATAAATGTATTATTTTTTTATTTTCTATTATTGTTTATTTTAGTTTTCTTACTAAAACGTGACAGTTTTTTCTTCATATATTATCTTGATTCATACTAAGTTGTTGTGTTTTTGTTGTTTTTATTCATTTAAAAATCTAATTTATAGTAAATGAAACAATTTATCAGGTATGGTGAGTTTTTAAAACAATTACATTGATTTCAAAATAAGTTTCTTATATTGATGTGTATTTAAAATATGTACCTTTCTCTAGTATTATCAAACGTTTTATTATTATTATTATTATTATTATTATTATTATAGTTTTTTTGCACATGCTCTTTCGATCAAAAGTTTTTAACATTTATTAAATATAAAAGAATTGTTTAATGGTTATTACCATTTTAAATAACGGCTTTATAATTGGATGCAGGTTCAAATAAAACTATTACTCCAGTCATTATTGCTTTTATTACTGTTACCATCAATAATAATAAAATTAATAATAATATTGATGATTAATATTAGAGGATTTCTGAATGATCATGTGAAGAGTGGAGTAATGAAGCTGAAAATTCATCTTTAAAATCCCTGGAATAAATGATTGAATTAAATGATAATCTGCTTTTGAATAATTATTTTATAGTGGATTAACATTTCACAATTTTACAACGTGTTCTGTATTAATGATTAAATAAATGCAGCCTGGTGGGCAGGAGAAGCTTAATTTTAAAACTTTTACAAATCATACTGACCCTAAACTCGGTACTGGTAGTGATTTCAGAGTGTTCTGTGTGTGTTTGTCCTCAGATGCTGGCCGAGGAGAAGTCGATCTCTGCCAGATACGCTGAAGAGCGCGACCGTGCCGAGGCCGAGGCTCGCGAGAAGGAAACACGCATGCTAGCGTTAGCTCGTGAGCTGGAGACGCTCACCGATATGAAGGAGGAGCTCGACCGCACCAACAAACTGCTGCGCGCCGAGATGGAGGATCTGGTGTCATCTAAAGACGACGTGGGCAAGAGCGTAAGTCTAAAATACACATTTATATATTTACCAAATGATGTTTCACAGATTCAGGAAATGTTCACAGTGTGTCTGATAATATTTTTTCTTCTGTAGAAAGTCTTATTTGTTTTATTTCGGCTAGAATAAAAGCAGTTTTTAATTTTTTAAACACCATTTTAAGGTCAATATTATTAGCAATATTTGTTCTTACACTCTTATACAATAACGTGACTAATATAAGTCAATAATTTCGACATAAACCGTGTGTGTTTGGCAGGTGCACGATCTGGAGAAGTCGAAGCGTGCGATGGAGCAGCAGCTGGAGGAGATGAAGACTCAGCTGGAGGAGCTGGAGGACGAGCTGCAGGCCACTGAAGACGCTAAGCTGCGTCTGGAGGTCAACATGCAGGCCATGAAGGCGCAGTACGAGAGAGACCTGCAGGGCCGCGACGAGCTGGGCGAGGAGAAGAAGAGGCAGCTGCTCAAACAGGTACTGATACTGTGTACATCAGGGGTTATTCACTATTATATTCCATTATTAAAGTCTGCATGAACTCGGTGTGACCGGTTTGTTTTGGGTTTTTTTTCCGTATTGGTTCACTGAGAATATTAAATGAGAAAGCAGTGGGCGGGGCTTGTTTTTTTTTCTACTGAGAGCTGATTGGCTGTAGTAAAGTAGGCGTGTCATTCAGAAAGATGGGTAAAAGGGTTCGAGGAGAGTTACCACCTAGCAGACTCCTCCCGCTCACCTTTTCTGTTTGTTGACTGACAGCTGGAGGGGTGTGGTTAAATAAGTTAGCCACACCCACCAACTCAGGCAGGCCTAATCTGAGAATTTAACTGAAAACAAACAGGAAGTGCATTTTCAGACTTTAATGAAAGATTACAAGGACAAACAATTGTGTTTCCTTAATGACCTGCACGGATGAATTGGTCCCCACAAAACTAGCAATGTTTCCCAGAGATGGGTTGCAGCTGGAAGGGCATCCCCTGCGTAAAAACTTGCTGGATAAGTTGGCGGTTCATTCCGCTGTGGCGACCCCGGATTAATAAAGGGACTAAGCCGACAAGACAATGAATGAATGAATGAAAACTAGCAATGTAAGCTACAAAATCAGTAGGGTTAGTTTTGATTTCATGTGTACTTCAACACTGCTGTTTAATCAGACAGTAATCTGTGCGTTGATTTCTGGCTTAATCAGGTTTTTATAAATGGCAGATTGTTTATAGTATTACACGATTCAACAAGAATCACATTTGAAAATGTTTTGTTCTTATTTCATGCACTTGACATTTCTATCCTGAGCCATTTTTCAGCTTTACATATCAGATATTTTGACAATTTTTTTTTTTTACAGGATAAAGTCATGACATTTACGTTTAGTCATTTAGCAGACGCTTTTATCCATAAAATATTCATAAGGCATGGGCTATTTAATTTTCTATGTATATTATTGAGGATTAAGGATGTAAACAGCCAGCTGATTAAATAATGATCATAATTTTAAAAACCTTTCAATTATGTTTATATTAATCAGGTTTTCCCAGAAATTTTTTATTATTACGTTTAAATACAATGAATCGATATTTAATCAAAATATTAAAATGGATACAGTTGAAGTCAGGATTATTCGCCCCCCTTTGAATTTGTTTTCTTTTGTAAATATTTTCCAAATGATGTTTAACAGATTCAGGAAATTTTTTCAGTATGTCTGATAATATTTTTTCTTCTGGAGAAAGTCTTATTTGTTTTATTTTGGCTAGAATAAAAGCAGTTTTTAATTTTTTAAACACCATTTTAAGGTCAATATTATTAGCCCCTTTAAGCTATATATTTTGTCGATAATCTACAGAACAAACCATCATTACACAATAACTTGCCTAATTACCCTAACCTGCCTAGTTACCCTAATTAACCTAGTTAAGCCTTTAAATGTCACTTTAAGCTGTATAGAAGTGTCTTGAAGAATATCTAGTCTAATATTGTTTACTGTCATCATGACAAAGATAAAATAAATCAGTTATTAGAGATGAGTTATTAAAACTATTATGATTAGAAATGTGCTGTAAAAATAATTCAGGGGGGCTAATAATTCTGACTCCAACTGTATGTGTGTATGTTTGTGTGCAATTAGAAGATAAACAATTATCTGATTAAATAATTATCATATATTTTTTAAATATTTCCTTTTATATCAGTTATTTGTATGACATAATAATCATGTTTTCCAAGATTTTTGGCAGGAAAAATATTTGATCAATCGATTAAATAAGTAATCAAAACCAAACACTTTGAACTTACCTGCGTTAGGAATGTTGTTTGTACATTAAAACCCTTTTGAAACTTGTATCAAATGTTGTGAGTTAAAAATATATTTAAATAAATAAATATATAAAACAAAACCCTTTTCAGACTTTTTTCCAAAAAATAAAAATAAATAAATAAATAATAGAAAGAAAGAAAGAAAGAAAGAAAGAAAGAAAGAAAGAAAGAAAGAAAGAAAGAGAAAGAGAGAAAAAATAAAACAAAAGCAAAAACCAGGAACCAGAACTAAATAATCAGAAACCTTTAACATAAATAGCATGGACATCTTTGTTGTTGTGCTGCATTGTTTTAAATGAAGTTTTGAGACAGTGATGTTCCTTCATATTGTTTATAAACTAACTAATACATATCATTTTTAAGTGTTTTATTACATTTAATAATTTCATTACTATTACTTTATTATTACCTTTATAATTTATTGTTAGAAATAAAACGTTGGGGAGTCTACATTATAGCTGTATAGAAGTGTCTTGAAGAATATCTAGTCTAATATTGTTTACTGTCATCATGGCAAAGAGAAAATAAATCTGTTATTAGAGTTATTAAAGCTATTGCTACTAGAAAAGTGTAGAAAGAATAATTCAGGGGGCTAATAATTCTGACTCCAAGTGTGTGTGTGTGTATGTGGGTGGGTGGGTGTGTGTGTGCAATTAGAAGATTAGCTGATTAAATAATTATCATATGTTTTTTAAACATTTCATTTTATATCAGTTATTTGTATGATATAATAATCATGTTTTCCAAGATTTTTGGCAGGAAATTTTGTATTTATTTATTGCATATACAGCAATGTGTTGATTAATCGATTAAATAAGTGATCAAAACAAACGCTTTGAACTTACCTGCGTTAGGAATGTTGTTTGTACATTAAAACCCTTTTGAAACTTTTATCAAATGTTGTGAGTTAAAAATATATATTTAAACAAATAAATAAATATATAAAACAAAAGATTCAGATTTTTTTTCAAAAAAAGAAAGAAAGAAAGAACAAATAAAACAAAAGCAAAAACCAGGAACCAGAACTAAACAATCAGAAACCTCTAACATAAATAGCATGGACATCTTTGTTGTTGTGCTGCATTGTTTTGAGACAGTGATGTTCCTTCATATTGTTTATAAACTAACTAATACATATCATTTTTAAATGTTTTATTACATTTAATTATTTCATTACTATTACTTTATTATTCACTCATAATTTATTGTTAGAAATAAAACGGTGGGGAGTCTACATTTCCTTTCTTACATTAGAAACTTTTGATTGATCATACTGAAGTAAACTGTTTTGTTTTCTGATTGATTGTTATTGAGATGTCGGGGGGTTTTCTCACAGATCTGTAAACAGTGCTGATGGAGTTTGGTGTGTGTTGTTTAGGTGCGCGAGATGGAGATGGAACTGGAGGACGAGCGCAAACAGCGCACTCTGGCGATGGCAGCCCGCAAGAAGATGGAGCTGGACCTGAAGGAGCTGGAGGCGGCCATCGACCAGGCCAACAAGAACCGAGACGAGGCTCTTAAACAGCTCAAGAAAGTGCAGGTAAAACACACACACACACACACCAGCTTCAAACATTTATACTACAGTTCTGATTAATGCTTGATTCTGATTGGTTGATGATCACTCAAAGGCAGGGGTGTCCAAACTCGGTCCTGGAGGTCCAGTGTCCTGCAGGGTTTAGCTCCATCATGCCTCAACACACCTGCCTGGCTGTTTCAAGTACACCTGGTGAGATCTTGATCAGCTTGTTCAGGTGTGTCTGATTAGGGTTGGAGCAGAAATCTGCAGGACACCGGACCTCCAGGAACAAGTTTGGTGATCCCTGCTCTAACGTGTTTGGTTATTGTCAGATAAAGGCACAGCTAAAGTAGTTCCGGCAGGTTTTACAGCTCCACATCACTCCGCTGGATGATTAGAGTTATTTCCCAGATGCAACAGTCAGAAAACACAAGAGGAGGAGGAGATGTGTGAGAAACGAGTGCTACACACAGGACATGTTTAAGGACAAAAACCTGACAAATAAACTCAAACCAGTGTGAGAACTATAATATAAGCAGAATAATGCCAAAATAACCCATGCTGGTGAATTATTAGATAATATTAATGCACATTTGGGTGAATCATGCTAACAACATGCTAATTCATGCTAGAATTATGCTAATTCATGCTAGAATCATGTTAGTAGCATGCTAATTCATGCTAGAATCATGTTAACAACATGCTAATTCATGCTAAAATCGTACTAATAACATGCTAATTCATGCTAAAATTATGCTAGTAACATGCTAATTCATGCTAGAATAATGTTAGTAACATGCTAATTCATGCTAGAATCATGTTAACAACATGCTAATTCATGCTAAAATCGTACTAATAACATGCTAATTCATGCTAAAATTATGCTAGTAACATGCTAATTCATGCTAGAATAATGTTAGTAACATGCTAATTCATGCTAGAATCATGCTAGTAACATGCTAATTCATGCTAGATTCATGTTAGTAGCATGCTAATTCATGCTAAAATCATGCTAGTAACATGCTAATTCATGCTAGAATCATGCTAACAACATGCTAATTCATGATAAATCATGCTAATAACATACTAATTTATGCTAAAATCATGCTAGTAACATGCTATTTCATGCTAGAATCATGCTAGTCACATGCTAATTCATGCTAATAACATGCTAATTCATGCTAGTAACATGCTAATTCAAGCTAGAATCATACTAACATGCTATTTACACTTTAAAACCACTTCAAACTGTCAGATTCGGCTTTTCAAGCCACCATAGAGTTTGCTCTCAAACTTTAATATCTAGTTAGGTAATATTAATGCACATTTGGGTGAATCATGCTAACAACATGCTAATTCATGCTAGAATTATGCTAATTCATGCTAGAATCATGTTAGTAGCATGCTAATTCATGCTAGAATCATGTTAACAACATGCTAATTCATGCTAAAATCGTACTAATAACATGCTAATTCATGCTAAAATTATGCTAGTAACATGCTAATTCATGCTAGAATAATGTTAGTAACATGCTAATTCATGCTAGAATCATGCTAGTAACATGCTAATTCATGCTAGATTCATGTTAGTAGCATGCTAATTCATGCTAAAATCATGCTAGTAACATGCTAATTCATGCTAGAATCATGCTAACAACATGCTAATTCATTCTAAAATCATGCTAATAACATACTAATTTATGCTAAAATCATGCTAGTAACATGCTATTTCATGCTAGAATCATGCTAGTCACATGCTAATTCATGCTAATAACATGCTAATTCATGCTAGTAACATGCTAATTCAAGCTAGAATCATACTAACATGCTATTTACACTTTAAAACCACTTCAAACTGTCAGATTCGGCTTTTCAAGCCACCATAGAGTTTGCTCTCAAACTTTAATATCTAGTTAGGTAATATTAATGCACATTTGGGTGAATCATGCTAACAACATGCTAATTCATGCTAGAATTATGTTAGTAACATGCTAATTCATGCTAGAATCATGCTAATTCATGTTAGAATCATGCTAGTAACATGCTAATTCATGCTAGAATCATGCTAGTCACATGCTAATTCATGCTAGAATCATGCTAACAACATGCTAATTCATGCTAAAATCATGCTAATAACATGCTAATTCATGCTAGTAACATGCTAATTCAAGCTAGAATCATACTAACATGCTATTTACACTTTAAAACCACTTCAAACTGTCAGATTCAGCTTTTCAAGCCACCATAGAGTTTGTTCTCCAACTTTAATATCTAGTTAGATAATATTAATGCACATTTGGGTGTATTGGCCACTTCATGCCATGGCCACATCATCACCCGTTGTCTATTATTCATCATGTCATGCATAATATGGGCTGCTTTTTTAATAGTTTATTGTCAAGGTAAGAAAACAATTACTATTTTCAATTATTTTAGTACATTACATAACTTACATAACGTACATATCAATGAACTATATACAGAAATAAAGAAAAAACTACATGATAATGGAGTATTTATTATCATCATCAGCCATTGAAACTCTGAAATGATTTGATGTAATTGGATGAAGTTATTCTGTGTGTGGGTGGGCAGTGGGGGGCTGATTATTGTTTATTTCTCTCTCTGATTGTTAATTGTATTGGTGAATTCAGTACTGTGAAATTATACCATACAGCTGGTCTTTAATGTCATTGTTTGTGGTATTAAAAAGGTCTGCAGATACGCTGTCAGTGCATTTCTCAGCATTAGAAACTGATAGTCAGTGTAATGTGTGTGTGTGTGTTGTAACGCTCCGCTCTGTGTTGTGTGTTCAGGCTCAGATGAAGGATCTGCTGCGGGAGCTGGAGGACACACGTCTGTCCCGAGAGGAGATCCTGGCCCAGAGCAAAGAGAACGAGAAGAAGGTCAAGAGCATGGAGGCCGAGATGATCCAAATGCAGGAGGTACAGTGTGTGTGTGTGGCAGTGTGATTGAGTGCGTGAGTGTCTGTGTGTTTGAGGTTATCTCTGTGCTTAAGTGTGTTTCAGAGTGTGTGTGCGCATGAGAGTGAGTGACTGAAGCCCCTTTCACACAGTGATACCGGTAAATATCTGGAAAATTTTCGGAACGACTTTACCGGTATATTCAAAAAAGCGCTGTTCACACAGGCGAGGACGTTACAGAAATTTTCCCGGAAAAGAGCATTCACACATCCATTACAAAATACCGGTAAATTCTGACATCATTCACCACAAATGAGCTTTAAACGGCTGCGCTTGTGTTTGTAAACATTTGACTGAATGACAAACTCTGTGGATGATCAATATTGTGAACAACTTTCGCAGGATCACTTTCACATGTCGAGATGTTCATAATATGTGCGTGTGCAGGCGCTCACAGGCTGTTTCACAGCCACACGCAAAGCTTGAAGGTAAACAAACAACGGCTTATCATAAGCATCTCATCGATGATTATTTACACAGTTGGCATTAAGAAGAACATATAAACGTGATCTGACTAACTTCTAGCAGCTAAATGTGTCTGGAAAAATATTCAAATTTATCCTCACAAACCGCGCGGACGTAAATGCGTCTGACTGTTGTGATTGGCTAAAGCAGACGTCTCAGGTCAGCACGTTCTAGACGTGCACGCGCTTATTACGGTAATCTTCCTTCTGCATTCACACAGCGCAGCATTCCGGCAAATTACCGGTAATGTTACAACTTCTCTTTCCGGAAAATAGCCAGAACGAATTTACTGGTATTTTCAAAAAGGACCTGTTCACACATACACACCTTTCCGGAAAATTGCCGGCAATTTTCCGGAAAGGTCTGTATATGTGGAAGGGGCTTGAGTGTGTTGCTGTGTTTGTAAGTGTGTTTTGGTGTGTGTGTGTGTTTGAGTGTGTGTATGATTGTGTGTTACTGGGAGTATGTGTGTTCATGTGTGGATATGAGCATGCCGTGAGTGTTTGTGTATGTTTATACATGTTTGAGTGTGTGCCAGAGATCTGCGTGGGACTAAATTTTGAATCCCGCCCGCACCCGGCAGGTTTTAGCCGAACCCGACCACTCCCGCTTACATTCAGAATTTGTTGTCCCGCTGCCCAACTCGCCCCGTTTTCTACCCACTGCGCCTGATCCTGCTAAAGAGGGGACAAAACAGAAAACCACCCAGCTATACAGAGTCCAGACAGCCTATAGCAAGCTGTCTGTATAAACACACACACACACACAGACAAAGCTCTCTCTCTCTCTCATTCGTGCACACACACACACACACAGACACAAAGCACACACACAGGCAAAGCTCTCTCTCTCTCTCTCTCTCTCTCTCTCTCTCATATTTATTTGCGCGTGCACGCACACACACACACATACA